CAACAAATATTTATCTATGCGTATCTTTCTTGCTCCCGCGACTCGACGGGGCGACTCCACCAAGTGACCCAACATCCCCTTCTCTCTTATTCCCACCCCTCGTCTTTCAGGCTCTTATCTCCCTCTCTCTCTCAACTTCTCTCTTTCAGGCCCCGTTTCTTATGTTTCCTTATAATTCACCTTTTCTCTTTTTCTCTTCTTGTTTTCCTTTCCTCTTTTTCTTTCTTCGATCCTCTCCTTCCTCTTCTTCTTTTTTTTCTATTTCCTTCTTCTCTTCTCTTTTCTTTCTTTCCTTTCTTTTCCTTTTTTCTTTTCTTTCCCTTCCCTCTCCCCTCCCCCTTTTCTCATTTTTCCCGACAGCATCGCAATTTTACCGACAATATCAAGACAGGTTGGGGGGGGGGGGGGGGTAGGGTGTCGCACCGCATCATTATCTGAATTCTCAAAAATGTTTCTTTGCCGGATATAAAGTCATGAGTTCGAAGGGAAAACAAATTGACGGCCGACCGACATATTACATCGCACCGACTTCAAACTTCTGCATTATTATACACGAGGATTGAGCTGACCCGACACAGCAACAAATATTTATCTATGCGTATCTTTCTTGCTCCCGCGAATCGACGTGGCGACTCCACCCCGTGACCCAACATCCCCTTCTCTCTTATTCCCACCCCTCGTCTTTCAGGCTCTTATCTCCCTATCTCTCTCAACTTCTCTCTTTCAGGCCCCGTTTCTTATGTTTCCTTATAATTCACCTTTTCTCTTTTTCTCTTCTTGTTTTCCTTTCCTCTTTTTCTTTCTTCGATCCTCTCCTTCCTCTTCTTCTTTTTTTTCTATTTCCTTCTTCTCTTCTCTTTTCTTTCTTTTCCTTTTTTCTTTTCTTTCCCTTCCCTCTCCCCTCCCCCTTTTCTCATTTTTCCCGACAGCATCGAAATTTTACCGACAATATCAAGACAGGTTGGGAGGGGGGGGGGGGTAGGGTGTCGCACCGCATCATTATCTGAATTCTCAAAAATGTTTCTTTGTCGGATATAAAGTCATGAGTTCGAAGGGAAAACAAATTGACGGCCGACCGACATATTACATCGCACCGACTTCAAACTTCTGCATTATTATACACGAGGATTGAGCTGACCCGACACAGCAACAAATATTTATCTATGCGTATCTTTCTTGCTCCCGCGACTCGACGTGGCGACTCCACCCAGTGACCCAACATCCCCTTCTCTCTTATTCCCACCCCTCGTCTTTCAGGCTCTTATCTCCCTCTCTCTCTCAACTTCTCTCTTTCAGGCCCCGTTTCTTATGTTTCCTTATAATTCACCTTTTCTCTTTTTCTCTTCTTGTTTTCCTTTCCTCTTTTTCTTTCTTCGATCCTCTCCTTCCTCTTCTTCTTTTTTTTCTATTTCCTTCTTCTCTTCTCTTTTCTTTCTTTTCCTTTTTTCTTTTCTTTCCCTTCCCTCTCCCCTCCCCCTTTTCTCATTTTTCCCGACAGCATCGCAATTTTACCGACAATATCAAGACAGGTTGGGGGGGGGGGGGGTAGGGTGTCGCACCGCATCATTATCTGAATTCTCAAAAATGTTTCTTTGCCGGATATAAAGTCATGAGTTCGAAGGGAAAACAAATTGACGGCCGACCGACATATTACATCGCACCGACTTCAAACTTCTGCATTATTATACACGAGGATTGAGCTGACCCGACACAGCAACAAATATTTATCTACTATCTTTCTTGCTCCCGCGAATCGACGTGGCGACTCCACCCAGTGACCCAACATCCCCTTCTCTCTTATTCCCACCCCTCGTCTTTCAGGCTCTTATCTCCCTCTCTCTCTCAACTTCTCTCTTTCAGGCCCCGTTTCTTATGTTTCCTTATAATTCACCTTTTCTCTTTTTCTCTTCTTGTTTTCCTTTCCTCTTTTTCTTTCTTCGATCCTCTCCTTCCTCTTCTTCTTTTTTTTCTATTTCCTTCTTCTCTTCTCTTTTCTTTCTTTCCTTTCTTTTCCTTTTTTCTTTTCTTTCCCTTCCCTCTCCCCTCCCCCTTTTCTCATTTTTCCCGACAGCATCGCAATTTTACCGACAATATCAAGACAGGTTGGGGGGAGGGGTAGGGTGTCGCACCGCATCATTATCTGAATTCTCAAAAATGTTTCTTTGTCGGATATAAAGTCATGAGTTCGAAGGGAAAACAAATTGACGGCCGACCGACATATTACATCGCACCGACTTCAAACTTCTGCATTATTATACACGAGGATTGAGCTGACCCGACACAGCAACAAATATTTATCTATGCGTATCTTTCTTGCTCCCGCGAATCGACGTGGCGACTCCACCCAGTGACCCAACATCCCCTTCTCTCTTATTCCCACCCCTCGTCTTTCAGGCTCTTATCTCCCTCTCTCTCTCAACTTCTCTCTTTCAGGCCCCGATTTTTATGTTTCCTTATAATTCACCTTTTCTCTTTTTCTCTTCTTGTTTTCCTTTCCTCTTTTTCTTTCTTCGATCCTCTCCTTCCTCTTCTTCTTTTTTTTCTATTTCCTTCTTCTCTTCTCTTTTCTTTCTTTTCCTTTTTTCTTTTCTTTCCCTTCCCTCTCCCCTCCCCCTTTTCTCATTTTTCCCGACAGCATCGCAATTTTACCGACAATATCAAGACAGGTTGGGGGGGGGGGGGGGTAGGGTGTCGCACCGCATCATTATCTGAATTCTCAAAAATGTTTCTTTGCCGGATATAAAGTCATGAGTTCGAAGGGAAAACAAATTGACGGCCGACCGACATATTACATCGCACCGACTTCAAACTTCTGCATTATTATACACGAGGATTGAGCTGACCCGACACAGCAACAAATATTTATCTATGCGTATCTTTCTTGCTCCCGCGAATCGACGTGGCGACTCCACCCAGTGACCCAACATCCCCTTCTCTCTTATTCCCACCCCTCGTCTTTCAGGCTCTTATCTCCCTCTCTCTCTCAACTTCTCTCTTTCAGGCCCCGTTTCTTATGTTTCCTTATAATTCACCTTTTCTCTTTTTCTCTTCTTGTTTTCCTTTCCTCTTTTTCTTTCTTCGATCCTCTCCTTCCTCTTCTTCTTTTTTTTCTATTTCCTTCTTCTCTTCTCTTTTCTTTCTTTCCTTTCTTTTCCTTTTTTCTTTTCTTTCCCTTCCCTCTCCCCTCCCCCTTTTCTCATTTTTCCCAACAGCATCGCAATTTTACCGACAATATCAAGACAGGTTGGGGGGGAGGGGGGGTAGGGTGTCGCACCGCATCATTATCTGAATTCTCAAAAATGTTTCTTTGCCGGATATAAAGTCATGAGTTCGAAGGGAAAACAAATTGACGGCCGACCGACATATTACATCGCACCGACTTCAAACTTCTGCATTATTATACACGAGGATTGAGCTGACCCGACACAGCAACAAATATTTATCTATGCGTATCTTTCTTGCTCCCGCGAATCGACGTGGCGACTCCACCCAGTGACCCAACATCCCCTTCTCTCTTATTCCCACCCCTCGTCTTTCAGGCTCTTATCTCCCTCTCTCTCTCAACTTCTCTCTTTCAGGCCCCGTTTCTTATGTTTCCTTATAATTCACCTTTTCTCTTTTTCTCTTCTTGTTTTCCTTTCCTCTTTTTCTTTCTTCGATCCTCTCCTTCCTCTTCTTTTTTTTTTTCTATTTCCTTCTTCTCTTCTCTTTTCTTTCTTTTCCTTTTTTCTTTTCTTTCCCTTCCCTCTCCCCTCCCCCTTTTCTCATTTTTCCCGACAGCATCGCAATTTTACCGACAATATCAAGACAGGTGGGGGGGGGGGGGGGGTAGGGTGTCGCACCGCATCATTATCTGGATTCTCAAAAATGTTTCTTTGCCGGATATAAAGTCATGAGTTCGAAGGGAAAACAAATTGACGGCCGACCGACATATTACATCGCACCGACTTCAAACTTCTGCATTATTATACACGAGGATTGAGAAATTCAGGATTGAGCTGACCCGACACAGCAACAAATATTTATCTATATGCGTATCTTTCTTGCTCCCGCGACTCGACGTGGCGACTCCACCCCGTGACCCAACATCCCCTCCTCTCTTATTCCCACCCCTCTTCTTTCAGGCTCTTATCTCCCTCTCTCTCTCAACTTCTCTCTTTCAGGCCCCGTTTCTTATGTTTCCTTATATTCACTTTTTCTCTTTTTCTCTTCTTGTTTTCCTTTCCTCTTTTTCTTTCTTCGATCCTCTCCTTCCTCTTCTTCTTTTTTTCTATTTCCTTCTTCTCTTCTCTTTTCTTTCTTTCCTTTCTTTTCCTTTTTTCTTTCCCTTCCCTCTCCCCTCCCCCTTTTCTCATTTTCCCGACAGCATCGCAATTTTACCGACAATATCAAGACAGGTGGGGGGGGGGGGGTAGGGTGTCGCACCGCACCCCCCCCCCCCCTTTAGCGACGTCCCAGAGGCGACTATATAATATAGAGGAGTAGATTTTAGCAAATGCCAGAGAGGGAGGAGGTGGGAGAAACAGGCGAAGTACGGAGAGAGAGAGAGAGAGGGAGAGAGAGAGAGAGAGAGAGAGAGAGAAGGGGAGGGGGGGGGGGGGTGAGAAAAAAGACAAACAGACAGACATACACAAGAATATTCTACAGACAGTGCTAAGTACCGGGTAATAACGAAAGAATAGAAAGAAAGAAGGGAAGAAAGGGGAAAAGAGGAAAGAAAGAAACATGAACATAAAAATAAACAAAAATAAAAAGGAAGATAAAAAAAAAAAAAAAAAAAAAAACAAAAAAACAAATCACGGCCCTAGCTGTTTTATAAAAAGTTGCGATTAGTCCAAATCGCAAGTCTTCCAACTCTCCAATGAATCGCAAGTTTGCAGTCTCCTATTATGACAGTTGCGATTGATATAAGTTGGGATCTCAGACGGGTAGCTTCATAAAGTAGCTGCGTCGAGTATTTATAGCGCCATCTATTGCTATGTTCTTGAAATTTTGTCGATCTACATAATTTTTCTCTCAAAAGCGAAGTCGAGTCGTCAAGTCAAAAACACCTTGGCTGAAAGCTATGAGAGGGAGAACTGTGGTAAGCTAAGCCTATTTATCTGCTCATCTTTTCAATTGATTATTATGAAATGGAATATTTTAGTCTTTTTTTCTCATCATATAAGATTGTGGGTGTGTTCGAAAAAGTCGTGGAAATATATGTGCAAGTCCCGTGAGTTTGACTTCTCGCTCTGTCTCAGACTTCACCGAAGCCGATGCCTATGGCACTGGCAGCTGTGCAATCAAACAAGTGGTCTGCATCTACTATGGTCTAGCGCTCAGCTAGACCGAATTTTTCTGTCTCTTTCGTTCGTTAGCCTCTGATTTGTGTAAGGTCGGCTCTCTCTTTAGAGACAGAACAGCCCTATACGCTGTAGTGGACGCGCGTTTGTGTAAACATGGTAAAGAAACGTTACACAAAACTTGGCCAAACTTAATCCCTAATTTTGATATTTTACCGAATGCGTATCCGATGCATTTAAAGTCCTAAATTAGTTAAATGCTTAACTACTTCGGTTTCACTTACCAACTTGACTACTTGAATCCATCTAATGGTCCCTTTTCAGGAAATTATGGGTCAAGATTGACATCCATGAAGAAAATCTTGCAGCCGGGTCTCGTTCCTTCTAGTCTAGACTCTACGCCGAAGGCAAAATGATTATAACGGAAAAACAGTGCATGTCATTACGAACTCGTAGCTCGTGCACAGTCTTTCCGTTATAATCAATTTTACATTGTAAAACAAAAGCGTGGACGGCATTATCCTGAAATAGAAAACCAAACCACTATTCACTCTGCCCGGCCCAGCACGTAGAACTTGAGCTTACAGCTAGCCGATTCTAGTGCATGCGCATTACGTCGATCCAGTCTCAGCCTCATTTTGCTAAATTGGCGCCTACAAGGGCCCTTCTGATTGGCTATCGCAAACCTTGTATTTGTTAAGATTTTTGTAGCATCCTTATTTCACTTTATAAGTTTAAGTTTTACATATTTTTTTTAAAGTTTGAAAAATTCTCATTTCTTTGTGCAGCACAAAGCAACAACCATTCTGTAAAAGGGTCTGAAAATCAGACTATTACTTAGGTGATTGCATTACATGTATATAATTTTCTCCAAAAAGAAAAAAAAAGCTAAAAGAAAAGGGATGGAAGAGAAAAACTGAACTTTTTCAGTGCCTGCATCACTATCATAGCTTGCAGTTTAAAAAACCTGGCACAAAACCTCATTTTTCAGACCTTCAGCTCATTTTGGGGATCCTGTTTCTTATCAGTGGGCGTAAGTGCTGACTTTCAGACTTTTTGGCAGCAGAATTCAACCTTTCATTTTTTGTGAGTTTAGTGTGAGCGCTCAGCTATTTTAGTTCAGAACAAATCCTTTCTAAAAGTTGGTCCTCTGTATTTTATTGTCATAACAACAAAGTGCTTCATTATGGGACCTGTTTCACGAAGCCTTTTTTCAATGACAAATGACAAGTCTGCTGATAACCAATCAGAAGCAAGGATTTCAGTAGCTTATAACAAAAACTGTCATTTGTCACTGATGACAAGTTTTGTGAAACACCACCCTGGTTGTTCAAATCCAGACAAATGCTACAAAAGTCCTATGAGTGACTTTGGTTTTGTGTTGTTTTGTTTTGTTTTTGAGCATGGATGTTTCTTAAATGAGATACATTGTTTAAAAACTCATAAGAAGCTTCAATATACTGTATGCCTTAAAGACTTTCAAATTAAGAATTCAACACGGCCCTTCACATTGCATTGGCATGTTGTTTACAAAGTACAGATGGATTGAAAATCTTGTTCATTAAAAACAAAACAAACAAAAACAAAAAAACAATGCACTTCCTATACCTGTAGGTTACAATACAATATGCATCATGGTAGTTGGCCTGACATAGTAGATTGTCAATACATGTACCATGTACAGTACATGTATACAAATAAAAAGGTTTGATTAGATTTGTATTGAAATGAAACCCAAAGTTGGGAAAGGTTATTTGTCAGGCCTTGTAATGACATCTTATCTTGATACGTGAACCTTGGTATACCCAATCAATGAGTGTTTGTCTGCATAGTTTATCATTCCTGTATTAATAGAGCAAGCATCTGTGTTGTGTACATGTAGGTGTGAAGAAAATTCATTATTGATTTATTTCTGCTCTATCCACCACTACCATGTAAAGTACATGTAATGCCCCATATGGATATATCATGCAGTTTATCTTGAGGCTGAATCACTGAATACATGTATGTTTGGAAATATATTGGAATAGTTGTTTTGTCTACTAAGAATTAATCCTTTCGTCATCTCTCAAAAGTAAGTTTGTTTCAATTTGTTATGGAAATTACTATACATGTACATGTATGTGTGTCATCTACCATGACACGTTGTTAGAAATAATTTGATGTTTTGATTGAAATTTGGTCAGAATGTGAGCAGCACACCCGGATTTTACCTGTACTCTACATACTGTATGCACTGGAACTAAATTATTCCTACCCCTTCTTGTTCTGTGTCAGTTTATTATATGTTTTTTTTCCCTCTTTTTTTTCATTTAACTAAAAAATGAAAGGTGGATTTGTTAAATTCGGGCCTTTGTTGAATACTTTTAGATATAGGCTTTAATATGTCACATTCTCAAGAAACATGAATTGGGACAAATAAATTGTTCACAATTCCAACACTTTGTAACTAAAGGGTATGAATAAATGAGCTGTTAAGGAACCCTTTCCTGTCTGTTTGTTGTTTTGTTTTACCTTGTTTAAATTAAAAAGAATGTTTTCCAGAGCATCTTATTTCTATTATTATATTGTGAGGATTATTATTAATATTATTACTGAATAATAATCATAATCATTATAATTATTATCATCATTATCATAACTGTTATACTCATTATTTTGTATAATTATTACAATTATTATTATTTATTTTTTTATTTTGAGTATCGTAAATTATTATTATTTTTATTAATTCATTAATATTACATTTGGCACAGACAAAATCAGAAAATAGTGAAAACAAAAGCAAAAGTAAAGTTTGAAATGAGTCACATGGATGCTTGGAAAGAAAAAGATCTATACATGTACTACATGTAGGTGTGCTTGTTCATGTAAATAGAAAACTCCAGCTTCTGTTGCCCTTCATAGACAGGCCTGATAATTACCCGATTTAAATCAGTTTCCAGATTATTTTTTTTCTTCATGATTTTATTCCAATTTTCCAGATTTTTCTGATTTTTCTCTAATTTTCTCTATTCTTCCCTATTTTCCCTATTCTTCCCTATTTTTCCTATTTTTTCCCTATTTTTTCCCAATTTCCTTACTCAAAAGGGGGGAATGTTGTTAGATGCCATCCCCCCCCCCCCCCCGAATCCTCTTCTTCTTCTTTTTTTACTCAAGGGGGGGGGGGGCATGGTTGAGGGGATGAATGGATGAATTTGGGTTGATTTGATCGATATACATGTTGTATGTAAAAGAATGTTTCAAAGGAAGTGTCTGAAGTTTGTGCTGCATTTCTGGCTGAAATACACTGATATCGAATTTGTTGAATACTGTAGCCTTCATGTACTGTAATTGTATGTAGACCTACAAAAGGGAAACTTGAAGACATTGTTTATTGAAAATTGTTTTTTTTGTCTGCAGGGGATGCTCTTGAGTTTGCCCCCACAATACTGAGTGAGAAGGATTTATAGTGATGTCCCAAGAGGAACCTAGTGATCTGTCAGCGTTAGATTCTCTGTTCAGTAGATACGGACAAGGAGGAGCTCGTGGGCTGTCAGAACAACGCAAGAAACAGATCTATGCAGGCAAACAACAGGAGGTAATTCATCAGTAATTCATTCTACATTCGTTCACTACAGTAATGCTGGAAATGAAATCTTAGTCTTTTTATAGAGTAGTTGGCCATATATCCTTGTTAGAAACATAACAAAATAACAATTGATACTGTAACAAAATGATTTTATCAATCATCATGTCTTCAAATGGCTATTGGTGACCCGACCCAAATCAAGAACAAATGATAATAAAAAAATAAAAAATGCAAAATATCTTGACCTGTCTGTTTCATGTTCTCATTGTGTATTCCCGGTAGGTACGTGTACATGTACATGTCTAACAATTAGTTAACAGGTTTTATTATAATATAAGTATGTGTGTAATTTTACAGGTACAGGTATACAGGAAAGAAGTGAGTTATCTTGAATAGATCTTTGTTCATTTGTAGGTTGAATGAGCTGGCATTAGATTATGCTTGAGTCATAAGAGTAAACTCCAACAGATTGTTATCATCACAGGAAATACCTGCTGATTTCTCCACTGATATAAATTGATAAAAGTTGACATTTGTCTAAAGCGCTATAGATTACATTGGTTTGCATTGTTGATTAAGGTAGAGGAATGTGTTTTGTTGCAATATTATTTCAGTGTTGTTGAATGAATAACAGCTACACGTACACTGTATGTATGTAAATTGTACAGCAATAATAACTATTATATCTCTGTGCATGGAGTTCATTACATCAGTTTGTAACTTTGTAAATAAAAATATATTTCCATCAAATAGGCTTAATAACTTGAAGACTGGTAGTGATTAAAATATGAATACAAGAAAACAAAAAACCAAAGGAGATTCATCCATTAGTGTTTTACTTTGTTTAATTACATACACGGAATAAACTACATAACAACTGATACGTATTAGACCTTTACTGGGATACTAACCTTGTGACAGTAGTCTAATCTGTTGTTGTTTTTTGTGAGTGCCATAACAGTACAAAGGTATCAGGATACACAGGTATTCAGCGCTCAATTCTCTACCGTCTGTCTCTACGTGTATGTATGTTTAGGGCTAGATCCACCCCTTATTGATAAGAAGTTGAGGACAGATTAAATTGGAACAGTGAATTGTGGTCAATTGTAGTAATACTGACCAGGAAATCGCCTTCCTTATAACATGCTCTATTCGTTGTAAAGGTGTGTTAAAGAGTACTGTACAACATGATATACATGTAGACGGCAAGCATATTGGATACGTGTACTTGTAGTTGAAAATAGAGAGCCAGTACGGTGATATATAAGAAGTAATATATCCTAGAAATGCATTGTTGTAGAAGGGTTTTAAATAATCACTGCTGCATGTGAATTGAATGTTCAAAATACAAGTGTGTTTATTGTTTTCACCATATTCATGACAGGATCAGCAGGAGTCTAGTAATCCTACCCACAAGACACTGCAAGCAATCCTTGATTACGAAGAGACTATCCCAGATCGAGAGGTGGTAAGTTCAGTAGGATCTATAATGAGTTTATTTCATGTGATGTGTTGTGATCGTGAGTGACCTGAGGAGCACTGGTATGGGGATCAACCTTTGACAATCATATTGCAAGGTCTGCGCTATCTAGACTACAGCTTCATATTGCTTGACCAGGAGCTCTAGAAACATGAATCTTCTTTAAAATTGACCTCTTTCGTGTTAACATTTCTTGGATTTAGTTGTGACTGCCCAATATCTGCAGACCACTTATTAACTTACATACAGTACATGTATGTGTCTTGATGCAAGGGGACAATATCTATTTACATTATGGTGATGGACATTGTTCAGTGGACTTTTCTTTGCCAAGTCTGTTAAAAAGAGAATGAAAGAAAAATAAGAAGAAAAAAGAAGAAGAAAGAAACAGATTATTTTTTTTTTAGATCTATGGTTATTGAGGAGCTGCAGTTTCATACAACCTAGAGCAAGGTTTCCCAGAAAAGACTAACTAGGACCAAGTTCATGCAGCATTAAGTGTCCCCCCTTCCCTATGAAATACAGGTCATATATGACCCTTAAACTTGAACCCAGCCGAGTCAGGAGACTGTTTCTCTAATGTTAACTTAATGAATCCACAAGAATACTCTGTTCGTAAATTCTTTAGAAAGCACATTGAATGAAAATAGGAATAGAATTTTTGACTGGTATAATATGCCCCTGTAGTGGACCACAGATTTGAATCTTCTGTTCTGAATATAATGAGTTACATGTACCAAACATCAATGGACATGGACCTGTGTGTTTCCTGAATGCATGAGGAAGAGAAAGACTTTTATCTTTCCTTTTATGTTTATCAACCAGTACAGGTGGATTGTAACCAAATAGTAGATATCAGATACCAATGAATGCTCTCTTTAATATACACAGGATATAAAGACCTCTATATATACACAGTTAAACCTGTATATAAAGGTCATTAAAGGGATAACAGTAAGGTGGTTGTGATAACGATCTGGACGATGGGGTCCTTACATGAGCCTGTACTCGTGGTATCGGCTCTTAAATACATGTTGTAATGAGAAACACATAAAGGGAAATAAGAATGTGCGGTCTTTATAGACGGGTGGACAGTAGTCACAGAACACTATGGCAGGTGTTACTGTACTTCATTTCCTGTTTCTGAGAATTATATGGATGCCTCATGCTCTAAATTCTACATGTATCTTGTTCCTAGGAAATTATACACTACAATTATATAGAGGAAGTCTTCTGGAAAACTAAAACCCGGTAAAATTCCTACAATTGTATACAAATGTCCAGCATACTTGTCTATTGACTGCAGTAAATTGTATCAGAACAGGAGGACAAAAAGGTCAGAATCTGTAAAATATCCTGGTACTTGGTATAGAGCCCACATATTGTTGAAGCTTGTTATGATGGATTGAAGATCTGATCAATATTACAGTGTACAGTATACCACTGTGCAGTCAAGATACAGTTTCAAATTTCTCTATAAATGTTCACTGTTGCAAATCTGCTCAAGGATATTTTTTCTGATTTACTTTTCAAATATATTTGAGAACAACAGTTTAGTAGAGCAACAACATGGATGCTCAGATTGTTGATGTCCTCATCATGGTCATGCATTATGTGTAGACCCACCATTGTACTAGCTTTCAACTGTTTTCTCAAGCCGTAATGAAAATGTTGAAGTCTGTAGAATGTACATTTGGCCTACCGGTAACCTGATGAGTATTTTGTCCTACAATACGCTCAACCTACATGTAGTATTCACTTGATAGCCAAGCATGCCTGTGCACGTCTTTATTATTTGTTTGTTCTTTTATGTGGTTTTATTTATATTCTTTTTAAAACACTGTCAATGTAGTCAAAACTTCGTAGCATAAACAGTACAGGGGCATGAATATGTTCAGTAAATGGTTTCTTGATGTACTGTACAGTATGCGTATGCAAAATTCATTGTTTTACTTATATCTTTCGGTTGGAAGAAAATTATATCTGTGGTTATATTACAAAAAATCACCCATGATTTAGGTCTCTACATTATATTTACCTGTAGGTCTGGAATTTGACATTTTTTTTGCTTGATCTACATGTACAGGAGCATTTGCGTTTGGTGCTTTTTCATGACAGACATTGTCCCAGTTAATATTGGAAAAGTTTGTTAAAGTTTGTTCCCATTTTATTGCTTTGATCATTATCTTCTTACATGCACCATTCATATTAACAAATATCAAACTACAAATATTCTGAAACATTTGAGGCAGTGTGTACATATGTTTAACTCTGGTTGTTGTTAGATTGGTGGTCAGATTGGGTAGGACTGTGTGAATAGTATTTGAAATACCTGTGGGTGACAATTGTTCAGAATGTTTACATAGCTCTTGATCTCTGTCTAGTTCTCTCATAGCGTTTCTAAAGTTCTGTGATGTTAAACCATTGGTCCATGGTTGAACTGTGCTTGCCTGCCACCAGGTCAGCTCTAGGTCACTCTACACTACTGCAATATGTACTCTCATGTAGTTTCAGGATTAAAGAATGAACTTTTATAAGCGGAATACGCAGGAAGGTTTGGGCATGGCGATCACTAAACACAGGAAATGTGTTACAGTTGTGCCAATAGTAGTATGACTGTCATGGCTTGGATTTGGAACCTTTTGTAATAGTACGTATTTGCCCTAATTTCATGGTAACCATTATAGTTTAACTGAAAGCAGCGATTTGGCTTTCATTTTAGATACTACAAGTACATTACTACATGTAGTTCTAATAAACATCATTAGCAATTAAGGACAGTATTTGGCACAAACCCATCTTGGAAATTACATGTCCCTTTGCACATCCAAAGAACTCTGGGCTGGATTTGAACCCTCAACCCTTGGATTAAGAGTCAAGTGAATGAACCACTATACCATGACACCTCCACATATACATGTAGGCCTAATGTACAAGTACTGTATGTGTACATTGCATGGAAGAAGAGTATTTGCAACAAGTACCATTCAGATATCTCTTTTAAGTTCCAACTTTATACAACCCTACTAGTACATGTACTATACATGTAGATACTGTACTATTGTCCCTCCAGTTTCAAGTGTCATTTTGTAGACAGGTGGTTTGGTTTTTGTATGGAGTCTATCAATGAAATATTATGGATTCTTTGTTTTTACTTGCATTGTGAGACCTCTTTGAGAGGCTAACATTGAGTTGTTTAGTCATTCTAGGAGGATCACTACATCACTCTGGTAAACCTAAGATCAACTCATTTCCTCTTTAAACGGTCCACCCATACTCCTTGCTAATCAACTACTCTTGTGTTCCTGTAGCAGCATGCAGTCATGCTCGTTGTTAGTTGTACATAGGACAGACTGTATTCTGCTTTATTAGTGAAAGCTTGTGAACACAAAGGCCAACAGAAATCACTTCTTGAAAATATTTTTCTGGGATCTCTATGTTTTTAACATGATTTGTCTGCAGAAACTTTCTTTATATATTCCATCAAAGATTGTCTGAAGGTAAATGCTTTGATAAGCTTGTTTTGTATGAATATTTTATTCCAAATATAAATTTAACTGAGGAATAGCTGTTGTCTTTTACATCAAGGGACTGATAAGATGAATTATAATCTTTGTGACTGTAATTATACATTCCTCATTTGAAAGAGGTACAGATAAAAACTGTTTTTCTTATTCTTTCCTATCCATTTTCCGGTTCATACATGTAATATCTACAAATGTACATTTACACGTTTATTTCTTCTTAAATAAGCTTTTTTATATTCTTGCTTGTACTTCTCAATCAATTGGCTCTTCTCCTTTGAAGTTTATTAGATTCCATCTCTTATTTCTGCATTAGTCCAGTTATCCACTTAATGATTTTCAATGTACTAAGTATTACATTGGCCTATTGAGCACAGCATGTACTAACTGGCCATATTGTATCTGTACGAACTTTACTGAATCACATGAGGGTGATGTTACATTGTAAATAAGCCTTCATACTGCTTGTTATTGTTGGTGACCATTTTTAGACCTTCTATTTTGTAACCCCCCCCCCTGCTAATGTCATTGTCAGGGGGGGGGGGGGAGTTAAAAACATACACTGTGACTGTACATACTCAACTGTAGAAATACAGAACAGTAGTTTTAATGTGTTTTTTTTTATTGCAGAATAAGCAGACATAAGCATTGGGATGTATTGTACGTGTATTGTACATGTCTGACATTTCTACTGCATTTCTCTTGCAATGCAGAATTGCAGATAATAAGGAAGTTTGAGTTTAGTCGAGTGAAGGAATGAATAGTGAGTAGTAATAGGATTATTTAGACAATGATGTGACTGACTGACTGATCTGTCTATCTCAAGCTGTGTTTCCATGGTCATTGATTGAATAGAGCAACGAGTTACTCATTGAAGTTAACAAAGATTTGTGTCACTTCACAACCTTTGTTCTTTTGGGCCATCTACATGTAGCAGTGTACAGGTACATACTTTACAAGCCTTTCATTTGTTTATTTGTTGTTTTGAGGCAAGTGTAAAATCAGTCCAAAATATCGTCAATTTCAAAATAACCCAAGAAAATTAAAGGTTAGATGAAAGACATGTGTTTACATGGAGAATCACAAAATGAAAAAAAAAAGGAATTTGATAGAAATCAGAAGAGTGTACTGTGCAGTCAAACTAACTGTTTTGGTAGAAACATCACAGAAGAAGAAGAGGGAGGAGAACAATTACTATTACACAAATGTAATATTGAATTTGACAGTGAAGTATATACTTGCAAAGTTGCAATCTTATAAGTGGTTTCATACTTGTGCAGAGTTACTCTTAATTAATGGTCTTCCTTGCCTGAAAAGTTAACAGAGACACACAGAATTGATGGTGCAGTATGCAATTTTAGTGATGTTCATGATCAACCAAAGTACATGGCACTTACTTGCAAATATCACTAACTCATTAAAGTTAAAAAAACACAAAACAAAACAAGCAAACAATAAAAAATCACACAAATCATCGAGAAACAATAATATTCACCAGATGATAAAAGAATGCTGAGCAATTCTTGTACTGACTGATTGCAATGTGATTTCCATTGGATTTGATGCGGGTTGCAATGTAAACACTGTGACACAGATCCTAAAATAGATCTTTTGTTAGGTGGGAAAGTGAGTTTCCTGCCTGCAGATTTTGATCAATATTTGATGAAGATTGCTGATCGCGATTTTTTATTAAATTCTTATAACAGGGATGTACACTGTACTTAAATGCATAAATGAAAGAAGATAAAATCGGGTTAATTTGATCGCATTATCATAATCAATTTGATGTCAGAATGATCACCATCATTATTACATGTATCATTAATGAAGAATTAATGATGATCACAATAATTCTGTTAGTAAAGCAGTTAATTTGACCTAATTTCATGTGATTTCCTCTTATATCCTCTTATAGTATAGCCAAGATCAATTCATGCAAAATATAGATTAAAGTCTACCAAGCATAAAATCCACATTATATCTACTCCAAATCAGAATACAGAGATCTAGTTTTATGACAGTGTTTGCATCAATATTTCTCCTCAACGAATTGGGAAAATATGCTCTTATCCTAAATCAAATTCTGTTAAACGTTCAGAAATATGTTGTTGGATGAGGCAGATATGCTAAGGAGATGAACTCTTAACTTAAGTACAGGCTTTAGCACAGAGAGTATGGTATTTGAGCCAACTACATTATGATACAGGTATGTAACTAAAACTATTTTCCCTTAAGTCTGGATCCATGCATACATTTGTAAAATGTGAAAGAGTGAAGGGTGAACAGAGTCACTCAAGTTTGTTATCAGTATGACATTTCTAAGACAATTTTTTTTTTTTTTTGAGGCTGTGTTTGTATTTAGTTGAGTTACTTGAAACCTGTTCATAGTGATACAGATGAGCTGTCATGTTGGAAACCATTTTTCTAAATGAAATAGACTGCAAGGATGCGTTGCTTTAATATACTAGTCAATGTTTTTGACAATTTCAAAATGCAGCATATTCCACTCGATAATATAATTGCTAAGATCGCAGTGTGTTCACACACTGAGCATGTCTTCTATGTGTAGATGTATTCACATTTACATATACCGGTGCTTCTTCAGTGGAGGATTTGTTCTGTGACATTCAGTGTGGTTGTTTGTAGAAATGTTCACATTAGAGAGGTTTTATTCACTTTCTAAATTCACTTGGGAATATCACAATTCTTAAAGATAAAGTTGAGTTCTGGTCAAGCAATTGCATTGTGAAAGAAACGGTATGGAATCGATCAGAAAAGGTTGATCATCTAGCATATGAGTATTGGTGTGTACTGCAAGGTTCTAGAGCAGGCCTTCTCAACTAGTTTATTAGAAGTGCCAATTTTTTTTTATATTGAAGTTGAAGTGCCAACCTGTATGGTTGGTGACTGTGTTGTGAGGGAGCGTAGCGACCGAGCCGATGCCGCGTGGTGTCCGCCCCCGGAAGCTAGTCGATTTTAGGGCTTTTTTAGGGCCCAGATGTGGCATTTTTAACACCTTTTTATTCCATAAAACATCAATCATAATTTCATATTGATGTGAAATAATTAGTACAATTCCTTGGTAAAATCTACACTGGAAGTAAATTTATATGTAGTTATTTTGGTGCAATAAACATGGAAAATGTCAAAATCCAGTGAAAATCAAACAACCAAAATGGCTTGCTTACATTTTGGGCTCAACTTCAACTGCGACTTTTGATTTTGCTGAGTTTTTAAATTTTGAAATATAGTTTTTTAATTTTTTCTTTCTTTGATTTTTAATTTTAAATTTTATTTAATTTTTTATTATTTTTTGGGGAACAGCCGCGCGCCACTCCGACTGACCGCAAGCGCCACTAGTGGTGCGCGCGCCGCCAGTTGAGAAGGCCTGTTCTAGAGTCATCAAACTGATAAGAAATTTGGTAAAGTTATATAAGCACTGCACACAGGAAGATGTATATGGGACTACACAAACATGGGGCATCAAAATCTGTCCTGATTTTTAAGCTGTTACATGCCATATTTAGAATATTAAGGCATTTGAAGAGCTACATGTACAGTGTATGCTTTTCAGGGAACATTTTTTTATCCAATGTTTTTCCACACTAGCATAATAAGGGAGTTTACAGATAGCACATGGTACAAATGACCCCAAATATCCACAGATCTTTTACACATGGAGAAGTTCCACTTTGAGCATCTTAGAATAATAACTGCCAAAGTCCTAGATATGCTTCATGAATACCTTTTGTTTGCCCTCTTGAAAAGAATACTTCCACCTGCGTGTCTTAGAATGTACTGTTAGTGCATAAATGAATAATGTTACATAACTTTCATGAGTGCATATCCAGTATTCATCTCTGGTGGGTGTTACCTTTTTGGTACACATGACCTTTATCTGCCCATGCGCAGATTGTATCTGTAAACTCCCTAATATAACAATGATAACGCTTACAATTTTTTTTTCACCTCTTCCCAGAACTCAACCTTCTCTTTAAGCCAACTGTCAGCCTTTTAAAAATTCACCCTGTTTGTGTCAATAAATTATGAAATTTATGGGTAATAAAGCTGTTCAGTCACCACCACGTGATGATATTTAGTTTTGAAAGTTGTCTGGAAAGTAAAACACAGCTATAGAAAAGAGCCCATCTCATTTCCTTTGATATGTAATCCATATAAAACCCTCTGTCAAGAACTTCCTCCCATCATTGAGTGATGTGCTTCTTCTACTCATGATCTGTCTCCTGTCTGTAGCTGTAGCTTAATTCAAGGCTCTAATAACTGTCTCTGTTTAGCTTTCTCTCAAAACTATTACATGCAGAGTGATAAATGTCATATTATTCATACAGTGGGTTTTGATATCGATACAAGCACACAAAGCTGCTCTTCAGTCTAGATCTACAAACCTTCATACTCGGGACATGTTGTCTTTCTTCCATTGACCGGTCTGTCTGCTAGACGTCTCGTATACATTTCATTTGAAATGATCCAGCATTTCAGAGAATTCCAATGCTCAGTTTTCATGTTTAACTTGGACACATGTACCCTCTCTATTTATGAGTTAGGAGGTCTTGATTTATCCTTTAAAAAGATCTGGTATTGATTTGGATTTGGATTTGAAAGTTTGGATAGCTGTCCAGAACTTTGTTGTGTCATGCATTGTGCAGCTCATTCTTATGAAGCCAGTGAAATCCATGATATGAAGTGGTAGTCTCATTTTTTCATGAACTTGAACAGTGAACATATATACCTTGCATCAAGAAGTGATCATATTTGAGTTTATCTTGTTGGTCTCATTATCTTTCATCATGTTTTTATCAAAGATTCATGCCTGTATATTGGTAAGTTAATTAGCATTTAAACATGTATGTGTCAATTGTACACATTTCATTGAAAATGGTTTGATTCTGATGCAGCATACATTTTGTATAAACAAGTAACTCAGTCACACCGTCAAATTGACTCCAAACCGACTCTAAACTGATCACTTTTTGTTGCCATTGGTTGTGATGCAATGGTCAGTAGTCGGTCTGGTGTCGGTCTGGTGTCGATCTGGTGTCGATCTACCTGGTGTGACTACAGCTACAATCACAAAGGTTTGTACGAACGATGCGTTCGTACAAATCTCCCTGTTTTTCCATTGTCTTCCCGAATTTCCATTGTCTAAAAATTACAGCGTTCCCAGCAGTTCGTAATGGCATTTGTGACCGAGGCTTTAGGTATCAAGCCTGATTAAAATGTACATACACTTTTTGACAGATATATTGTTTAAATCTACTACAGTACAGTAGATGTTCTTTTTTTGTTTAAATTCAGAAGATATTTACTGCAAGAAGTTGTATTGTTCATGTCCAGACCTTATCCTAGTATTAAGCAGCCAGAGTTCTGTGTAGTGATAGAGTTTATACCTGTAGCTACACTGTAGATGGGTATTTTCATAATTCAATGAGAAGGCAGTGTCAAAGTCATTAGGAATTAAGCTTTCTTTAGCATTATAAGTGAGGTTATTTTCAACTGTAGAAATGTATTGTATTGTAAGTCTAATACTGATTTAGTTTCACATGTGAGACATCCTGCTTTTCAAGACTGGTACTTCTCTAACCACTGATTGACAGAACCAAATAACAGTTACAAATTAATTACCTCACCTATTAAAGTCACCTTATAAAACCTCTACAGTGTGTCATACTGAGAGGCAGAGGCAGGTTATGTGTACAGAACAGGAGGAGTTATAATTTAGGGCCTAATTTAGACCAATTAGTCTTGCATGGGGAACCAGGAAGAAAAGAACATTTAGTTGGCCGGCACTGCCTTGATCAGCCCTTGGCCTCTGTGCACTGACAAATTATGAATGTTTGCTGAGTTAGTTGCGTATGGCAACACAGAAAATAACAACATTGCACTGCTAAATATAGTATGTCTTGCTGTATCACACTCGTTGAACTTCATGTACATGTATGTATGCACATATTAAAATTGCTATTTTATTATTTTTACAGAAATTTTAATAAAAAGTTAAGAACCTTCCCAATTTAATTGAACTGATTTGTTGCTACATTTCAGATTTTGATACCAGATTGAGAACAGGGAAGAAACTTCCATGATGTACATGTACCCTAAATGTAAAAGAAACACTCCCTAACTGTGGTATGATGTGTTTCACGCTGTGCCACCATTTTTATTTTGATCACGTTATGCGTTCTTCACATTTCATTCACGCATCATTCAATCATTGCACCATTTACCCTTACAGGATGAATTTGTAACGAAGATTCGTGATACACGGTTGCTTGATGATTATCCTGAAGACGACACTCTAGAGTCTACTGAGGCTGCTCCAGCTTACAACCCTTGGCCCCTGGATGAAGATACCTCTCCTGCCACCATGGCTGATCCATTGAGCGGTGAGATCTTAGTAACAGACTTACAAAACACACTCAAACCTGAGCCTGAGGAGGATGAGACACTCGATGATGCATCGGCTCATCAGGAGGACGATCCTGCTTCGTTAAGTGAGAGCGACATTGATGATGAGGAAGCAGAAGATTTGACGGAGGAGTTTGAGAAGGAGAGAGCAAAAGAAGATGTGTCAGCAGATCACCATGGTGGTGGAGATGCACAGAAAGACGAGGACGGAGATGAGGATTTGTTTCCTAGAATAGATGATGATGCTGATAAAGACCAATCTGTTAAAATGGTTGATGTTTTAGAGGAGGAAGAAGAAGAGGAGGAGGATGATGAGGAGAAGGAGGAGGAGGAGGAGGATAAGGCGGATAAGGAGGAGGAGAAGAAGGAAGAAGATAAGGAAGAAGATAAAAATGAAACTGATACCAGTGCAGATACCACAGACATTGAGGTAGATTCAAGAACAAGTCCTGTGCAAATAAATGTAGAGTTGTGTGAAGACTCTCTTGATAGCACAGATGGCATCACAGATACAGATGGAAAGACATTGGAATCACAGGTATGTTATGTTATGTTATAAAGCTATTCACTTTGAAAGGTTTATGTGAGTATTGGGATGCCTCTTTTTTGTTGAGCACAGCACTTGAAATTCATCACAGTATGGGCAGTTGATCTTTTTCCCCTCACAAATATGCCAATAAACCACTTAAATTATAGGCGAATGGTGCTATATTTTTGTATTGATTCACATGAATATTCAGTGGATTAGCAGCTTTTTAATTTGAATGTTGGTAAATCTTATTTTGCATTTTGCTCAGAATGCTGTTTTTGTTACTGCACAATGTACACTGCACTTGACTTGTACTATTGAACATTCATTCATACAAACTCGACCACAGGTTATTTGCTTAACATGCATGTACTCAATGCAGTACATATCAGCTTGCCTTTCTAGCAAAGAAAATATTTGGTTTGAACCTTGTATCTGCAATATAAGAATGAGGATGGTTCTGAATTCATGGTACAAAACCTTGTAAGAAATATAAGCTTGATCTTGAGGAGAAAGGAAATAACTATAAAGCACATGTCAATATTTATATTTTGTTATTATTTCAGGGTAATACAGCAGGTACATCAGAGAAGAGTCCACAGGAGAAGAAGAAAGAAAATGTTCCAGATTTTGAAACATTCCTTGCAGAACTGGTAAGATCTATTACACATCTCTCTAGATTATGCATTTCTATTTCTAGAAGCCACCCACAGGCAATCTCAATACCTTTGTGCATTGCCTTTTTCATGATAAAAAAAAAAAAAAAATCTATCTCTCTTTAATCAAAACACAATTTTCTTTTTTAGGCAATACAATATGTATTGAAATTTTCCTAAAGTTAATTTCTTGGATGTCATTGTGATCAAGTTGGCAGAAAAATTGGAATTAAGATGTAGATTCTACATACAGTATACCTGTATAGATGTAGTGAGTTATGTACAGTAAGTACCTGTATGTATCGTCTGTTTGGAGCCAGAAGGACGTACAGTATACTCATATTGTTTGAACAGAGTTAATACCCCTGATCAGATGGTATGGTTTCCACATGAAAACTTTACAGTATTTAAAGCAAGAAATTGTCACTTCCCCAGTTCAAAACAAGTGATGCCATTGCAGTAAAGCCAGGCAGGCAGTCTTGTTTAATCTACATGTACATGTATACGTGTAGCACTGAACCCTCATGTGGTAGTGAGTGGGAATGGCCGGTAGTTACAATCCTATTTTGGGCAAGTCTATTTTTGAGAGGGGGATTAGTCAAGATTAAAGTGAGCTTACAATGATGTGATTCATATCCCTGTATCTAAGCCATTCACAGACAGTATTCAAATAGTACCTACTGTACATGAGCAAAGCTACATAACATGGATATTACTAGAGTGTGTTATACAGGCCAGGCTGGTGATATGCCAGTTCTATCCTATTTCAAAGTGTTAATATTGTACCGGTATGTGAAGTGTAAAATAGATTAAGTGATTGATTTGGTACAAAATGGTATACTATATTATTTTTGTTTGTTTGTTTGGGGGGGGGGGGGGGGTCAGTTGAGAGCAAATTTTATCTTGACATCAACATCAAGTAGAGCTTTAAACTTGTTATTGAGAGGGGGGGGGGGGATGAGATGTACAGGACACCCTATAGCTATCTCATAACACTGATTGTACACCATCCTACTTGTGTGTGCTGTGCTTCCTGGTAACGTGAGTTATACAGCTGTTTACTTTGAAGGTCTGTGTTTCACCAAACCCTGCTGTTATCACAATGGGATAGAAACCTTCAATAGTAGATACGATTTGTAATACATTATAGTTGTCTGTCATGCAGTATGGGTGCACCACCACAACAAGTATTTAGTAGCCTGTCTCTTTTCAAGCGGCATTATGATTAATCCTGATTTCAGATTCAGAATAATACTTGTCATGCCGTTAAATAGATAGGCAACCAGTGGACATTCAAAACAAGCTGAAGTGTACTCCAAGCAAGAGAGTACCTAGGAGCATCAAACAGTTTTTAAAAGTTTTTCAAATGAGTGTCATCTTTCAATACGTGATTGATACCATATATTTCAGAATTCAGTTGATTGTAATCGTTGAAGTTCATCTTGATAACTTGTGTAGGAACCTTAATGTGACTTTTTTGTCAGGGAAGTAGAAATAGCAATATACATGTATACCTGTCATATGATATACATAATGTACATGTCGTCTGCAATGAAATTGGCAGTACATTTGCACATTCTTGTAATATAGACTATCGATAATTAGTTACAGCATTGAAAATGCTTGACAATAAATGAATGTGAGCCAGCATCACAAAACCACCAAAAGTCACCAGAAATTCTAAAAGATGAGATACTCAGTTTCAAAATGATATAAATCATCAGAATGGGATGCTCCTATCCCAATGAATAGAGAAAAATGTCTACCTACCGTAGTTGTAAAGAGTGTTACTTGTGAAAAAAAAACTAATTTAAAGTCTGTAGTCTCACTGTGAGACTACAGACGACAAAAGGAACTAGGTATATAGGAAATTCTGTGAAGGCCGGATCAATTAGATTGTCCTATAATGTTGTACACTATTTAAGCACATTGTGCAATTTTTTTTGTCCATCTATCATCACAACAGCTTACTGTATTTTGAGTTATAATAGGAGATGAAAATGAGTCCATGAGCCAGAATTGTACAAGAAATGAAAACTATGATAACAAATTCAAGATCAGACAAACATACATGTAACCTACATGTTCAGGAAGTGTTAAAAATCTTAATTTTGAGCTCTAACTGAAATTCATACCATGCGACCTTTTTAAGGTTTTGTGGTGCCTCGTCACAAATGTCAAGTTTTTGTTTTTGTATGACCCCCATACATACTCCTCCTCCTTTTCCTTGGTTTTTATATACAGGGTGTATCATAATAAAGGATATTGAAGTTTAATGACGATTTATATGGAAACTACTGATTTCATAATCAAGCACTTATGTCTGTTGTAAAGGACAGAATGTCCTCTTTTTAATGACACCCCAATCATACTTCTACTGTCACAGTTGACTGAATAACAAAGCATTGCTGTCCACCATGTGAAAGGTGCACTGTGACAAGTTAGCATTCAAAGATTAGTGCTTGTGTCAGCCCAGACATATTGAAATGCTGAACAATGAGTGGATTATGTGTCTAAGAAGGAAATGTTATCAAACTTGGCACAGTGCACCTTTCACATGGTGGACAGCAATGCTTTGTTATTCAGTCAACTGTGACAGTAGAAGTATGATTGGGGTGTCATTAAAAAGAGGACATTCTGTCCTTTACAACAGACATAAGTGCTTGATTATGAAATCAGTAGTTTTCATATAAATCGTCATTAAACTTCAATATCCTTTATTATGATACACCCTGTATATTTAATTATTTATAACTATCTAATGTGTGACAGTGTTGATTGATCCTGATTGAACAAAGCAAAATTTAATTACAGTTAAAAAAATGTATGTGTATTCCAGGGTGTGGATCCCAGAGAGACGCTAGATGTCGAGGTCCAAAAGTCTCGGGCCAGACTGAGTAGACTTGGTCCTATGGCCCAGAGGAGACCTATGACGAAACGGTTCTCAGGAGGAGATGAAGACGGATCTAAATGGATGTTCGTTGATTCAACAGGTGAGTCAAGATTTAAATATAATGTATTGAAAGATGATGGTGGAATTCAACCTCTTACCAAATGATACAAAGTCATTTGTATATCTGGGGACATGAGATTATCTTCTTCCGTACCCCCCCCCCCCAACAAATAAAAGACACTCAAGTGATTATCATTAATGTTAAAAGAGGGTACAGAGAAAAATAAAAGTTATAAACAAAGGCTGACACGGAAGTCAGTTTGGACATTTTATGTGTGCTAAATTGTTATGTTGTGCACGGACTGGTCTACTTACAAGTAGCTTTGTTCTATGTTCAGAGTGTAATTTCTTTGATTTTGCAGTAATTTGATTATTTTTCTGTGCTTTTATACAGAACCTAAACCACAAAGATCAAGTATAGATGAGGAGGATGAGGAGGAGAAAGAGACCCCAGTAAAGGCACCTGCCCCTCAACCAGCCAGTAAACCAGGCATGAGGAAACCTCCAGGAGGAATAGGACTAGGTCCTATGGTGCTTCCAGGTCTTGGGACAGCTCTTGGGGGTGCCAAGCTAAAAGTAAGTGAAGACCAGAGGAAAGACACCCTATGAAAGGTCTCAGTCTTGGGATAGACCAGGATTGATTCATCCCCTGAATGGATAGATCTAGATAAAGACAATCTTGCAAAGGTTAGGTCTAGGCCCAATAATGCTTTCAGGTCTGTGGGTACACCATTATAGAGACACATCCCAATGGGATAGTTCTAGGCCACCTAGTGCTTACAAGGCCTGGGGCTACCCTTCTGTATCTAAGTAAATCCAAATGTATTGATAGGCTAAGGCTGAATTTCCAATGTCACTAAAATATGGACTTGCTAGAAAGATAAAAATTGCAACCAAGGATTTGCCCTCGAAACTCAAAGCCTTATAGCTTATTATTGGTTCATTGAAGGAAATGTGAATCCTGGATTGCGTGATGAGTTTATACGCGTTCATTACTGGAAGAGGAGAGGCCTCGATTATGCACTTGTCCTGTCAACAAACCTATAGATTGACATGAAGAATGTAAGTCAACTCAGACACAGCAGGATGGTGCAAAGAGAGATTGCTGTTCACTCGGCTAAGTAGTTGTGGTATTCACTTGTATCTGTAGATACACAGAGGTTTGCTATCCAATGCCCAATGCCAAAAACTAAATATTTAATAGATATGAAATTAGTGCAAATATTGAGGCTTAGTAGATATATTCTATATTTAAGTGCTTTCCCTGAAGGCAAAGGATGTTACATCTAGCTGTTGACTCAAGGCTCTTTCAGATATATAAACCCCAGCTGGTTTTTAAAAATTTAAATGAATGGCTAATATGCGCAATGATATGTCCTATGTGTCTTCACAAAGATACAGAAATGTGAAGTGTATTACCCTTATCTCGTCCTGAATATATAAACAACACAAAATTTGTGGTGGTTTACTGCATTATATTTGAACAAGTCTTATATTTATCCTCTCAATTTCTCTTACTGTAAATACCAGAAAACACCAACCAGTACACCGAACAAAACCTTCCAGAAGTCTATAGAGGAATCTAAAGTGAGCATCTCAAAGTCAGAACCAACCAGAACAACACCTTTATCATCTCTGAAGAAAACCCCTCCCCCTGCATCAAAGGCTCCTCCCCCTGCATCAAAGGCTCCTCCCCCTGCATCAAAGGCTCCTCCCACTACAGCCTCCAAGCCCCTCCTCATCAAGAAGAAACCGCTAGCCAAGCCACGCCCTGCATCACAGGCCATGCCCTCAAAGGAACCCTCTCAGGTAGAGACTTTTATCTTGCTTTAACAAAAAGTTGGAATAATTGATATTTAATGAAGTGAATGCTTTTTATTGCTTAGAATTTGTGAAGTGTGTATGCTGTCCATTACAGCGTATTAACAAAAAGAAAATGATTTGATGTAAATTGCATTTTGCAAATTGTGATATCTCTATAAAAACAATAAATTATAGTTATGTTCAGAGAGGGAAACTCAGGAAATTCTAAGTGGGTTGATTGATGACAATCTTTAACTGTACCATGCGACTAAAGGGTAAGACCATTTTAGTTCATGCTTAAAAATACAGATATGCCATTATATGTGAGATACGTCATCCACCGTTAATTCAGATTTAAGATAAGTATGATTTTTTGTTTTAGCCTGCCTGGTTGAAAGAGTTGAAGTCTAAACCCAAGCCAGAAGTGAAGGAGACAAAGAAAGAAGAAGATAAATTAAACTCAGATATCCTCCATCCTAAGAAGGCGACTCCTTCAGAGACTGCACCTAAGTCACCATCCTGGATTGCAAACAGCAAAACAAAGAAACTGCCTCCTATTCCGTAAGTCTCATTTTTATTCAGCGTATCAGTTCATTTCATTGAATGTTTGATGATTAGAGTTTGCACTTCATGTACATAATAGAACCATTTTTCTGGCTGACATCATTTATTATTCTGAAAATACTAAAAACTGTTAAGATATTTGCGGCAGTTTTGATCATCATAATGTATGAAGTGTACATTAGTTTATTGTGAATCTTTTCCTTCTTCAGAATGAAGATGTCATTGTTTAGTTGAGGAATAACCTGAACACAGATCAAATGATCCAGTGTATGGGAGTCAGTGCCAGAACTCACATCTTTAATATGGCAGCTACATGTTTTAATCTACACTTGCCACCCTTTACCCTAGATAGAATGAAATCTAGGAGCATTGCAAAAAAGCTAAATTTGTAGATATGCAAATTCTTCATTGTCTGGGATGCATGCATTAGAGTGTTTTAAATAGATTAAGAATGTTCTACCTATGAGTGGAGGTGGTGCACAATGATGTTTGTTTGCTAAGTGCAGTGACCTAGGTTTAATGTCAACTTCTTGTTGTGTATTGAAATATTCACTATTGCATTACACATTAAGTATGAGACGGTATTATTATCACTGTGTGAGATATGATGATTTGGATCTCTTTATGCTGATCTGTAGGTCTTCATCTAGTACACCAAAACAAGAAGTAGAGAGCTCAACATCTAACATACCTGCATGGAAACAAGAATTAATGAAGAAGAAAAAGGCACCAGTACCAGCACCAAGCAGTGAGTCTCCATCTTCTTCTATTTATATCCCCTTTTTTTTACCCCAGTATATATATACTTTGAGAGATTTGTTATGGAAGACATTGATGTCTTATTATCTCTTATTTGCCATAGAGAGCAAGAAAGGGAAAGACAAGGAAGGAAAGAGATATAAAACAAAAATGAGTCATAAAAGGAATAGAAATTTACAACAAGGGGAAGAGAAATACAAAAAGAGATTGGCAAAGTGAAGGTGTTATGAGAAACAAGCAGAGAGAGAGAGAGAGGGAGAGAGAACACAAAGGAAAGCGAGCAACAAACGGAGAGGCTAGGACCTGTCTGGAGTTTATGCCTGTTCCTTCATTTAATTATCACATTCTTACACACATTGTATCCTCACCATTACCACTCACACTGACAGTTATATGCATAAATGACAAGTAGCTGGACATCCGTCCATTGAGAAATGGGTGTATTTTTAGAATCCTAGTACATAGTCAATACAGGTAGATTAACAATGGGTTTAAGCATAGGGTCACAGGAATGTCAAGTTAACAGGATATTGGTCGCTCATATCGGTTGCTGCATAACTGTGAAACCAGCTAATTACTGCTGTGCAGACGGCTTCATCTGTTGACCACTTTAAGAACTTACTTATTAAGTCACATCTATTCTGCTAGAAATTGCTTTATTACCAGCCTAAATATATTATACAAATGATGCATGTTCTCATTCTTTCATTATACGATCTATCCGCACTCGAGTTGAGGCTGTGTGTATCTATCGCACGTGTGATAGATACACACAGCATCAACGAGGGCGGATAGATCGTATAATGAACGAATGAGAACATGCATCATTTGTTTTATACAACGAAACTCCTAGATCCTTGTTATTTGATGTAAAAAGAATTAATTCAAGATTGTTTCGTGACAGTATAGATATAGCAAGAGTACATACCTCTACACACATTTACGCATAGTGCTGCGCAAAAATAGGCCCATACACACAAGTATTAAGCGCTCTAACCTCTACGCCTACTACTGCGCGGTCTGAAAACGAGTTCAATAGTACTGGGAAATATTGCACTCCTTTTTATGAAAACGAGTCCAATAGGCTCAGTAATTGAATCACACGTGACCGCGCATGACCAATCATTTGATTAGGATCTGGGAGTGAGTTGTATATTATGTACTTAACTGATCTCTGAGAAGTGACTTATCTTTGTTTATAAGTGATCCAAACATTGTGGAGCGGTGTGTGCAGTGCTTTGTAGCTTTGGGGGGGGGGGGGGGGTGGGGGTCATGCAAACTAAAAAGCATATTCAAATTGGATGATTATTGAGAGGAGGGCATTTCTAGGATATAAATATTATGAACACTGGTCTTAACCCGGCTAGTCTGAACACAGCTCTCTCTCCCATCCTAATTATGTTAGTGTGTGGGCATGATTGAGGATGTATCATATTAAAGATATAAAGAGTCTCAGCATTCTCTTCATGGTTAATTACTCTCAATTGTTTGGCTCATTGATGTCTATATCCTGTTTGTTGAATCTCAGTGACAGTGGCATTCATTGGGTAGGTTTCTCATGGGTGAAGTTCACAAGCACTGATCTCTCCCCCCCCCCCCCCCCCCCCCCCCCCCCCCACCCATCTGCCTCTTGTGAGATATCTATGTTTTCGTACCTAGTAGGTTTATAGGTTTAGTCAAAACTTCTCAAGGTTCATCTATGAAGTATTCACATCATTTTACCTGTCATGAAATACTTTTTGTGGACATTGTTGGAACCATGTTTGCTGCTCAAAGCTCAAGCACAATGATATGATTGTTTGATATGTGCTTTGTATTCCTGCTAATTATTGTGCATGTGTGAGTGTGTGTGTTTGGGCCTTTAACCACTCAAATCCACATGGGATGGTGAAATAGACCATCTAGCATAATATATCAGAAAGAAAGATGGGATGAGTGAGACTAGATAGAGAAAGAATGGAAACAAGAGAATATGTAGAGAAAGGAAGAAAAACAGAAAGGAAATAAAATAAATTCGAAAAAAGAAAGAATGAGAGAGGGGAAGACTGTGTTTTGACTCTCCATGTTCAATGTCCATATTTTCTTAATTTTTCATTTTGTCTTACTATTTTTTATTTAAATTTCTGTTTCTAGGTGTTAATAAGACACCTGTCAAATCTCGGATTTTGCCAAAGTCACCTACCAAATCTCCAGCTAAACCCCCAATTGCGAGAAAGCCCGGTTTTCCTCCTCCCAAGCCATCCCAGACGGCTGGTACGGATAAGGGTTCAGACTTGAAGCGAGAGGAGGAATCAAGAGATGAGACTGACTCCAAGAAGATCAAGCTATCTCAGGTTTGCACCATCTACATTCTCATTTTGAAGTCAATTATGCTCCAAACTCTAAGAGAGTAGAGTAGAATGATGTTGATGGAGATGTTATGTCTGAGATACATGTAGCCTTTGACCCATAAAAGTTTTGTTTACTTAATATTGGGATAAGAGTAACAGTTATGCAAAGATTTCATATATGTACATAATATTTAAATTACTGAAATTAGTGAACATGAATTTGTTTTTGTTTCACATATTAAAAATAATCTGATATTGTTACTCCTCTTGTAGCCTGATGTACCTCATCAGTCTAAATTCATTCAATGCTTTGAGAACTGCATAATTGCTGGAATGATACCAGACTAGTTGAGTTGATATTTATATGCAGTGGTATTACGTGTGTGTTTGCAGAGTATGGACTCTTCACTTGATGAGGAAAAGATGGATGTTAGCCAGGAGGAGACACCAGAGGAAACACCAGAGGAAAAGCCAGAGGAAACATCACAGGTGCCAAAGGATGATGAGAACAAGGATGACTGCCAAGGAAAAGATGTTGAGATGAAACAGGAAGAAGAAGAAGAGAAAGAAGAGGAGAAAGAGGAAGAGGTGAAAGTAGTGAAAACTGGAGAAAAGAAAGTGATTATTATAACAAAAGAAAAATCAGAGAAAGAAGAAAACAAACCATTCAAACCAGAAGAGCATAAGGAAACCATGGTTAAAGAAAAGCAGGATGAAGAGAAAATAAGAAGGGAGGCGTAAATTTGGAAGTAATGAAAGATGAGAAAAAAGTTGAGAAACCTATCGTTTCAAAACCAAAAACAGATATACCAAAAATTAAACAGGAAGAAACCAGCAAGGTGAAACCTGTTAAAGTATTTATGAAAACAGACTCTAAGAAAGAAGAGCCAACAAAGGAGAAAGTCACAATTGTGACAAAATCAGAAAGCAAGATGGAGGCACCAAAGAAACAAGAACAGAAGAAGGTGACGATTGTGACTGAGGATAAAAACAGTGATTCTGACTCCAGCATGCCTAAATGGAAACGGGAAGCACGTGAGAGGATGCAGAAAAGAAAGATGTCTGGCGGCAACATCGTTGTGAGTCTCATTCTACCTTGGCACGGTGTTCTTTGGTTCATCCCTCTCTCCTTGCACCTTGTCCTTTATACCATTCTTGTCTATCTTGCACCTTGAAGTATTGAAAGCCTTTCCCTGCAAGTTCTTCTATGCTTATCCTTGGTTTACCTTTCTGTGTCTCTCTTTCAGACTGCATGCCTTTGCACTGTGATTTGTGGTCCTTGAAAATATTCCTTTTTACCTTTCCATTGCAAGTCTCACTGTATTGAAATGTTTCCCGTCTTGATTCCTCCTTACCCCCACCCCTTCTCTCTCTCTCTCTTTCTCTCCCCTTTATTTCTGTCTGTCTGTCTGTCTTTCTTGCTCTCTCTTTCTCTCTCTTTGTCTCTCTTTCTCTCTCTTTCTCTCTCTTTCTCTCTCTCCCCGTCTCCCCTCTCTCTCCCCCTCTATCCCCGAGACTGTCTGCCTTCTCTCTCTGTCTCTGTCTCGCTCTCTCTCTCTCTCTCTCTCTTGCTCTCTCTCTCTCTCTCTCTCTCTCTCTCTCGCATTCTCCCTGTTACTGTCTGTTTTTGTCTCTTTATGTCTTGCTCCATGCTTACATGATCTGTAACTTCTCTTCTTCCCAACCTATTTGCTATTTTCTTTATGGGAGCATAAACCCGTCTCCTATATAAAGTCTGGCTTGCCTTAAAACTTTATTGCATTTCTTTCCTGCAATACTCTTGCTGTCTCTTCACCTGGTCTGTCTTTTCATTCATACATCAATCCCTCTCCTTGAGTCTGTTACTGTTTGTATATCCCTCATTTACCTGATATGCCTGTGATACCCATTCTTCCCCATATTATACTTTCTTATATTTTCTCTTGCACTTAAGTAAAGCCCTTTCTGATTTTAAAAGTTCATTTTCAATGTTTTTCTTCAATTTGGTTTGTGCTATTGAATTCTTCACCTCCTACCTTCACCTACATGTACCTGCCAATGAGGCAGCTGAAGAATTCATAGCACAAAACACATGTCATTTTGGCTTCTCTCTGCTTTTTATTTAAATGCTCTTTGCATGTAATGCCTTCCCACTCTTGCCTTCATTGTTTTTGCCTGTTTGTGCCTTTTGTGAGTTATTTGTTGTTCTTGTCCTTGATCACTCTACCGTAAATCCTGCTTGCACCTCATCCGTTGTTCAGATCAATCAATGTGTTTCTATAATAACTCAAGTTACTCCTATATGTGGGACTATTGTCAGACCATCCACTATGCCCATTTTTAGAGGTATTTTCTTACTTATTATTTTATGTCCAGTATCTTGCTCTGCTCTATTTTCATACCATATTCATTCCTCCTCAACCATTTCTGTAGATCATTTCTTTATTTTCACTGTTTCAAATATTCAATGCAATCCTTCCCAAGTGAGCTACTCTACATGTTTCCTCCTTTCTTTTCTCTTGGCCTGTCATCAGTTTGTTGATCTTCATTATAAGATGTGTCATCTATAGGGTGGATCTCCTTCTCTTTGCTGCTCTTCAATATTCAATGGATCATATTAAGGGGATATCATCGTCATCCTGCTCTCTTTAGATCAATCTCTGCTTTTTACTCAATGCAAGCACAAAACACTTTACATGATTATGCATCTGTCAAAAAAAATTATGCATATGATTTATTTGAAGCAAATCACAATTTTTCTGCCTCATTCTCTGCGGATAAAATTCATCTGTTGCACTTCTTCATTCTGCACTGGGTGTTTGGGGTGTCTGGTTTCTTATATTCCTTATCTTTTGCTATTGGTTTCAATCTTCTGTTATAGCCTTCATGTTTATTTCTGTTGTGCACATGTTAAAAAGGTAGTAGCATTGACTTAAAAAGAGCATTTAGCTTTGGTATTTCAGCCTCAAAATGTTGAATAATTACTTTGAAACTCCACCTCCTACAATTGTTGACTATTATGATGATAGAACAATTTACTTTTTTATTTGGACTGTATGTCTGAGGTTTGTGCCAGTAGAGTAGCTGTATGCTGTGTTTGCTTAGAAACAGGCATCCTTTTACTTTTCAGATGCTATTTGGTTTTGGTAAACTCATTGTAGTTTTCAGCTCAAGTTATGTTTTTAGTTTATATTCCAAAGCTTAACATTGTATTCAAGCAAATACAAGTCAATGCTACTATCTTTGAAGTATAACTTACTATTCTTGCCTTTTTTTCAACACCTTTATTTGATTTAAAGTCAAATTGTTCTATTACACTGAATTCATTCTGTGTTGGTTATTTATGGGTGTAGCCATTTTGTCATTATACATGTATGTGTGAATGCATTGAACCGTTGTTGGTAAGATGTTTTTTTTTCTGTCAATGTGAAATTTCATTCTGTTACTAATTTCTTTGAAGGACTATTGGTTTTTTATACTTCTTATTCTTGTAAGAGAAATCGTGTATATGAAGGAAATTAATTTGTTAAATTTAAATTGTTGGGGTGCTACAAATCAGGCCAAAGTGTTAAAGATAGATACAAATCTATTGGATTTATGAAAAGACATGGAATAGCTTAAAGTCCACCATAGAATTGCATGTAAAGTCATGACTTATGTGTATGTCTGGTAATTTAATATGGAAGGCCGTGAGTTCCCACATGAAATAATGAATATTTGTCATGAACGTACATAATTGTATCCCCAAGATTTCTAAAATAAAGTGACACGTATTCATAATTCAACTCATAAAAATCCTGTTATCCCATCATACCATGATTACCGTATGTACATTCTTATATATCATTCTTATAATGACCCCTAACCTCTGACCCTCTGCAGCCAATGAGGTCACCCAAAGATACGATAGAGACAAGTAATAACAACACTCCACTATGGAAGAAAGAGCTGGTGGAAAAGAGGAAGCTATTTCCTAAGATGCCCTCGCTTGACAACGAAGAGAAAGGATCTGTTGAGTCACAGAAGTCAGAAAAAGTGCTTAAGAGACATACCATTGCAGCAGGTTAGTGCACTAGCTGTCTATTCAATCAAACATACTTGAGATAAAGATCAAGTGGTACTTTATAGCTTGATTTAAGAGGTTTGAAATTCTAACCATTACTCTTAAGTGCTTTATTTGTTATACAATGTACATACTATACACTCAAAGGCTTTTGTCAATTGGATGGCAATAGAAATACACAATAAATACACAATAATAAACAAAATAAAAAATATAGCTTTTGTAAATTATGAATGATCAAATACATGTGGGGAATTCTTGTCATAACATTTTGTAAATGTTTTAAGTAGCCAACATTTCTGTACAGTGGAACATTTTCTTCTACTTTTCATTGGATTGCAGAGGTTCCAACGATCAGCGTACCTGCAGGTCATAAAATGGGCACTCCAACATGGAAACAAGAACTAGAGAAGAAGAATGCTCGTCTGGCCAAACATCTAGCGGTGAAGGATGCAGGTAATTACTCCTCAGTCCGATCCCTATCATCGCTTTAATGCCTTTGTATCTAAGCCAACCTTTTCTGAGAAAGCAAATCATTTCAATTTCCACCCAAATTGATGTGCTCCTTGTCTATGCACACTGAAGCAGCTTAAATAGGTGAATAACTCATTCCCAGCGTTGTTAGAAACTTCTTCACATTAAACATTGAAGTAATACTAAGTATTGTAGAATGAAATATAACCAAGAAGATGAACATAAAGTAAAATTATTCTTTGAAAGGACAAACATTCTGTTTATTTGTAAAATAGAAACACATGTTTCATGCTGTTTTCTCTCAGCATACCTGTATGAAGAAGGAAATGACAATCATGTACTTGGTGTTCATGTAAATTCATGCCAACAAGACAACAAGAGAAGACTGTGAGATGTGTCAACCTATAGCTTTTGTAAATATATTTGGTTTAACATTCTGTCATTTACAACAGCTGTATCTCAATAAACCATAAATCATTAGTCATTAACATTTAAATGACTGAGGCTATACAAAATAGTTAATTATAATTGTAACGGGTCAATTCTATAAATCAAACCTGTAGTTTTACATGGAATTACTCCTGGCAAAGACGGGTTGTGTGATTTATAGATAACATTGAGGCAAGAGTTGATAGATTCTGTGGCAAAGGCTATGTTAAATCACCCGGGGCCAGTTTCTTGAAACCTTATCAAGTCTAAGTTCAGTGGCATCCTATAGAAAAGTGTGTTAATTCTATAACACATTATATGGGATGTCCAAGAAGTTAAGAATTGTGACAGTTGCATGAAACAGCGCCCAGATGGGAACTTGCTTTGAAGAGAAGAGAAATGGAAATTCAATAGTTCCTAGGATTTCTGGAATTATACAAAACTTCTGCTTTCAAGCCTCCCCATCCAGTCAGGGTGTTGTTTGCTAGTTTGCTGGGAGTTTGAGGTTGCACAGCTAATGCTGCACTCGATGTGAAATGCAATAAATGTTTGTCTCTCTCTTCCAATCTTTATGACTCGTGTACTTCTCTTGTAGCAATTGATTTTTATTTTTCTGTTTTGAAAATGTTCCATGTAAAATGCTTGTTGCTCTTATGTTCTTCCTCTTGTATCCAATTATGCCAGGATCTGTTTTTCTCCTTTAGATGTCAATATAGGCCGCTGAAGTATCTAAATTTGTTCTATTTAACAGTCTTATAATCCTGTTGAAAAACACATTAAAAAACAAACAAACAAACCAATCATTCATTTCAGAAAATTATGTCATATATATATATAGCAGTTGCAAAGAACTTACATGTACATGTATATATGATATATTGTGTCTGTATCTGAAGTAAATAAGCAGACTGTGTAAAATGTAATTTCTTTTTATCGATTCTCTCCTGTTTCTATAATTCTTTACAATCTTTCTCTCTGTTGATGCAGAAAACTAAATGATACTGCGCATTCTATGAAAGCTAATTGTCTTTGCTCTTTTCAAACTTCTTCCCCTTTACTTTCATTCATTTAACCCCAAACCACTATTGCATTGTTGATTTCATTGTCTGTTTGTGCTCTGTCCTTCTTTTATTTTGTGATATAATTTTGTTGCTTATATTTTCCCATTATCTAACCATCCATCATTACTTAACATTATGCAAATGTGCATTACCATGTCATGATGATTCATGGTATATGTTATTTTTGCTTTCATGATCATCATTACATCTACACTTTCATGATCATCGTTACATCTACACTCTTAAACCCAAATTTATTTGTCTTAACCATACTCAAACATATCACATTTATTTCCATATGATTATGATTTATCTTTCATCAATTTATGTACATTATGTTATATTGCGTTTAATATCACACATCCATTTTAACTGCATTCTGTCTTGCACCACTTCATCTATATCACACAACCTTTCCTCACTTACCCTCCCTCACTAACCCTCCCCCACTAACCATTCTAATCATCACCACACCCCACCCCACCCTATACACGTACCATCTTACACCCCTTCCCTATACCCACCCATCTGTATCACCACATAACCCCCCCTGTTAGGTCCTGAGATCAAGCCTCCTATTGATGGTGTTAAACAGCAGCCTGTTCCTGAGCTCTCTTAATGGTATAAAACGTCACTTTGTATTTAAGAAAAATCAGTAATATCTGATGTGTGTAATATCCGTCTTGTATGCATTGTGGAGGGAAAATACTCTTCATCCTAAGCGCACAGTTGTGACAAGATTGTGGCTATCACTATGTATTAAGAAAAAACAAACCAAACCGCCATCAAATTGCAGACAAAGAATTACCATGAAAAAGCACTGTCTTTGACATGTATGTAAGCTATGAATCCTGTACACTTATTACAAGTTAATTAATGGGAGTGTGATAAAAATATCAATGGTATAATATTCAAAGAGTTGATGATTTGTCTATCATTTAATGTTTCTTAAACATTGTTTTTTGTATGAAGTGTGATCTTTAATCCTTCTGTTGACAACATTTAGCAGAAGTTATTGGTGTTTGTTTCCATAATGATTCTTTTCCTTAAATGGTATGTTTCTTTTCATTTTCAAATCATTTTGATTGGATAAGTGACCTAAATTCATGAAGGATAGCAAACTATCTGGCATGCCTAGTTTATTACATCATCTTACATGAAACAGATATACTCTGTGGTAGGCATATATAAATGGTAATGAAAGTATCTTGAATTGCAAAACAATTTTTATATCTGAAATTTTATCAAAAAGATTGTATTTTTTCTCAGTAATGGAATATGGACAGTAATCGAATCCATCATTGATTAGGAAAATTGTCAAAATTTACCTGAAACCTTGGATTAGTAAAAGGAAGAAAAAAAAGTGTTGTTAGGTTCTTACAATTGGACATGTTCCTTTTTGATACTAGGTTTACGTTTACATTTTTTAGAACGTACACTGTACACAAAGATTTTGGTGAACTGAGTCACACAAAAATAGTTTGACAGTGATGACTGATGACTGAGCTCATATTGGATAGATCAGAACTTGAAATGTCTTCAACACATATTATTCTAGTACATAAACATAGTTTATTTACTAACTCTCATTTTCCTCTTTCTTCCATCTTCATCTCCATCTCGTTCCCTCTCCCTCTCTGCAGAACGAGACAAAGATTAGAGTGAAGCATCTTATCCAGGGATTCAGAAAGAACTATTACACAAGGAGAGGATGCATGCAGGATCAACCCTTGAAACGAATAATTGTCTGATCCAGTTCTAAGTAGTGAAGTGTTACTTTGGCATCTTCCAAAACTGAGATAGGGGTGCATAATTGAGATATCTTATATGATATCTGTTTTTGAAATAATCCCCTGCTCTTAAACCTATGAAATTCATGAAATTTCTTTTGATTCATTCCTAAAATTTCTTTTGATTCATTCCTGAATGTTTGACTTCATTCCTGACTGTTTGACTTCATGTTTTGTGAATTGTTTTATGATGTAATGGAGAAAATAATTCTTACAAAAAATGTGGAGAAACATTGGAGAGACCAAAGCTAGCAAATCGGATTTCTTGACTGTAGAACATTAGGAAACGTATGAAACCTTGATCAAATGAACATAATCCATGAGTTGTAGTTCTTTTATGATGAATGGAGTGACATCTTACTATGTGAAGTCTGTACTCAGACTCTCAGAGACCTGTCAAAATGCAGCCTGATTGTTGGGCCCCCCTCTGTGGATAATGCAGTGTGCATCTATGCAGTGTGGTTTGGAATAAAACTGAAGGTTGTGTGCTTTTATAGCTTTCAATGTTTATGGGTCCAAAATATAAGCATTTGTGGTTTATAAACATTAGGTATGACATCCTATGGGCATCATTTAGAGCTCCACGTATCGGTACAAGAGGAGATTTGAGCATTGCACATCGTATGTACATATAGATGCACAAATATTACTTAGAAGTAGAAAAATATTATATCAAAAAGTGGTGTTGAAAAGAGAACATGAATGTTTGTTCTTTGTACATTTTTTTCCTTTTCTTCTTCAGAGTTTCCTTTTTGGGATGGTAAACAAGTTTCTATTAGATCCTATTTTGTATATTTTCCTGTAAGTATTTCATTTTCTTATTCTCAGTAGGTGTTGAAATATCCACAGGTTTTCTCTGCTGCCAAAGCTTTCAGAAGTTAATATATGCATGGTTCTATTATTGTCCTGCCATTTAATCCATTGACAACTGAGTTAAATGATACTTAGATTGAAAGTCATTTGAAAGTCATTTGAAATGCGCATTAGAAGAAAATTAATTACATGTAGAGACCAATGGGATAACATACCACTGCCTAAAACTGCACTAAAGTCGTTTGGGGCTTGAACATGATACACACACAGATTTCCTGATACTCCTCCTATTGCTCTTACATACTAAATAATCATCAGGTGAATGTTAGGTAGTCTGTAGTCTGTTTGTCTGTCTGTCTATCTGTCTTGGTTTCCATGTGATCATCAGTTATATGATATATTCATTACATTCAGTACATGTACAACATGACATAGCGATGGAATGACAGACAACATCCGTCTTGAAGTGAAACATTGAATGACTCATTTGCATTCATGTCCAATTATCTCTCTACCATTCCTGTCTGTATATTTCCCCATTGTCTGCTCTGTTCTCATTGTGTATCAGTTAACCGTTTAACCCTGTCTTGGTGTACCATGCACAAGCACTAAATCAATTACTGCCATTGTTATTTTCTTGCTGAATTTATGAGTAATGACATGTAGGAAAGATGTCATCTCAGGTAACTAGAAGAAATTTTGAACCCATATTTTATGTTACCGCTCGCCCTCTCAATCATTCTTATTTTGAAAGGAAAATATGTTTAGTCCTGTCTTAATTGCATGAGTTCATGATGTACATGAACAAGAAGTGAATACTCTGTTAAATCTTGTTATTTCAGATATCTGTTGTGTTTTGCCAAAGAGGATACTTCACTCTGATGTTCATAAAATTGTCCAAATTGGAAAAAAGAGTGATAATGCAATACTACTACATCATTTAGTATGGGAGAACATGATTCCATTCATATTTGGTTAAAACTTTGTCTGTATGAGGTTGTTTACAATTTGAGTAAACTTGAATAAATTGAATTGAATAGAGTGAACAATGCTAACATTGTAGAATTATAACGGAAGTCTGTATTTACAGTCTTGATAAGTTAGATCTTCAATGAATTAGTGGATCAATGTGCTGTACATACACATAGATTCATGAGGACAGTTAATTCAGTATCTGTGTTTGGTATCTGAATAGTGCCTTTGTAAGAGAATACAGGTAACATGTAAGATATACTGTTGTTGGAGTCCTTTTATAAAGACAGTATGGATATATTCTCTACAATGTAAATCTACTTCAACTTTGTTAAAATATCGTCACCAGTCACAGTGCCTTGGTGCAGTATTTGTTCTTTAACCTTTTTGTGCGAGGTATTTTATTAGAATTTTGTTTTTCTTTCTATCAATCCCTTATTGCTCTGTCTATAGATAGTTCCATTACCTGGTATATATATATATATATGTATAAAGTCACTCTTTCTTTACAAAGCAGTTTATTTTGTGAAAGAAAGGGCATTTGCATTGTTGATTTTATTCCAATCTGTATGCAGGCCATTTTTGAATTGTCTTTAAGGATGTATGTATCCGATAACAAGCTACATGTACTAGCTTGTAGAAGAGAGATATTTTCGTAGAAACAAGACAAAAAGAGTCTATGTAAGTGCACATACATGAATTTTGTTTGAAAGTCCGCTGTTAAGTTTCCTTCCTGCTTTGATTATGTTCCCAATGGCCATGTACATATAAAGGGAATGGATGTCCTTGTGTTTATCCTGTATGAAGTGAAGCTATATGTATCTGAAATTCTAACTGAATTTAGAAGAAAAAAATGAAATGAAATCACTGGGCTGTTGTTTCAGAGAACTATAATTATAGATATAGATTTCTTTTATTTTCTATTTTTTTTAAATACTGTAGGTATGCAGGATAAAACATGATTTGTAGATATTATTTTGTTGCTTTCTGGGTGATTATATGTTCAGTCAAACCCGTCTATAGCAACCGCCCAAGGGAAACACAAAAATGGTCTTTGTAGACAGGTTCCTTTAGTCCATGTTTCAATGAGAAACCATTTTCAAGGGAAACAAAAATGTGGTCTTTGTAGATAGGTGGTCACTAAAGCAGGTTTTACTGTATTTAGAAAAAAAATATGAAATATATAATATACTCTCATGTAATTAAAAAAACACTATTCTGAGAAAATTGTTTCTTCATGTATGAATAATATTCCCATCTGGTATTAGCAACACATTCCTCTATCCTTACTAATCCTGATGAGTAATAGCTTTATATTTTTCTTGTAAATTACACTGGTTGTGTAGTTCTCTTTTCAAACATTCTACTCACTATTTGTTTGTATATATTTGCTTTGTGTGTGATTCTTCTTTGATTTCTATCAATTGCTACTCTGTCCGCTCTCATAGTTTTATGATTTGTGTATATTTTCTGTAACCCATAGTTATTATATATTCTATAGATGCTATTGAACAAATTCATAACAAATGATAGTATAGGTAAAGATTTTAAGAATTAATAGCTTTATTTGACAAATTATATGAGTTTAATCAACACTTGTGGGATATTCATAGAATGATGCTGGGAAGGTTGATGTATGCTTGCGATACTATTGATATTGTGTAAGAAATCAAAGCTGCTAATTGTTATATTTGATTTATATTAAGCACTTTGTAAGAAATCTTAGTTGTTTTATATTGATTCCATGACAAAAAGACTGTACATTGGTCATATGTGGGAAATTACATTATACATTGACACTATAAGTAGTTTTATAGTTTTATAGTTTTTTTTCTCAAATAATCAGTGAAATCCAAATATTGCTTTTTATCTTATCTCACCATTCCTTTTCCATCATTCCAACTCTTTCTCTCTGTCTTTGTAGCTCCATGTATTTCAGCACTGTCAATCAATTCCTATTGTTATACTGTGGTTTACCTCATAATTTCATTACATGCATTCACAGAACAAATTCTAATGAAATTCCTAATACAGGACAAATTAATATGGTTTTGCTGGAGGTATTAATAGTGGACAAGTATTAAGGATGTTGATGTATTTACATGCATATGTTAGTGAATAAAGATTGATATGAAGTGTTGTTCTGGTTTAATGTATAGTGTGATGGGTTGAATTAATGTCACACTTGTGTAGTTGATGCACATTGCACAAGATGACATGAAACAATACACTTCGTAGATCTTGTTTGTTTTCACTCAATGATATAGTTAAGATATGAATGACAGCTAATCAGTCAAAACTAACGTCAACAACACTTGGCTGTAAGTTCTTTTAAAAGGCAGATAAATAGGATCAAAATAATTTTTTTTAAAATGTGAAATGAATCGTCTTGAATTTGAAGTAATGAATTACTGGAAGATAGTTATGTGATGAATTTTGATCGATATTTTTTCGAAAATTAATGAATAATATTGAATCTGCATATGAAAAGGATCTATCAACATTGCCCTGAATGTATGGGGAATCTTGTATCGTAAGACGTTTCTAATGATATACTACAGGTACATGCCATAGAGCAAAGATACAATTCCTTTCTATTTTAATGCTCTATTTGTACATTTCTAAGTATACTGTGTCATCAAGAGTTTGTCTTTGTATTAATTAGGTCATTGCCTGTATCATATTACCTCCAAGTCTAAAGACATACATCGAGCAAGTACATATATGTTGTCCAATACATGTGGTATATGCATGTTCAGAGTAGCTGAGAGTAGTTGTCAATGCACTACCCTGCCCTGCCAGAATGAATCCAGATGTGGCCTTCATTTCTTACATGTTGAATGAATGGAAGTATTGTCTCATCATCTTTTATAAAGAATTACATTTTGAAAATCTGCTTCAAACAGTGCACTTTCAAAAAAATAAAATTTTATAACTGTATACTGTGGCTTGTGTCAATGTAATTCTTTCATTTTATCAAATATAGATACAATCTCTTTCGAGTTCCTTCTGATAACTGCTTCTTCTCTTTCTTTCACTCATTTTTCTGTTCCTCTCTTTTTTCTGTTCCTCTCTTTTTCACTCATTTTCTCTCTCCATTTCTCTCTCTCTCCCGTCTCTTTCACTCATTTTCTTGATTATTCCGTTTGTCTCTCTCTCTTTTTCTCTCTCTCCATGCATGTATGTTCTTCAATCTATGAGAATAAGAACGACATTTTCACTGCAATTATATAGTTGCACAAAATATATATTTGTGATGACAACGGCTAAAATTGGAAATATTCTCTCAGACGAGGTCCTCCCCCCCCCCCCAATTTCTTTAAAAATTTTGTGAAGGATGATCATGTATGTTTACTCAGCAATAATTATCCAAATAAAAAATGTAGATTTGTGATGTGAATTTCTTCTTCTGTACATAGCTACTGTAGTTAATCAACAATCAGTACTAACATGACGATATCCAGATAGCTCATCTACAATACAGTAACATTTAACAGGTCAGGGGGTAGCATATAAATTATGATTAATTATCAAATTTTGACACTTCGGTAATGTACAGAGACATAGCAAACTGCAACAAAGATCTTCTTCATTCTTAGAAAGCCTTCAATAGGACAGATTCACTTAGAAGTTGTTGCCATTATCATGATTAACAAAATATTTCTGGCCATACATCTAGGAAACAAAGACCAATTTACATATAAAATCCATACAATTAGTAAGGTCAATTAATCGAAATCCAATGTCCCAACTAAATAAAAGCCATTTTCACAGGCATAATCCATGAACAGTTGACCAATACGTATTACAGTCAAACCTCCTTTAGTGACCACCTGTCTACAAGGACCACATTTTTTGTTTCCCTTGAAAATGGTTTCTCATTGAATCATGTACTAAAGGAACCTGTCTACAAAGGCCACTTTTTGTGTTTCCCTTGGGTGGTCGCTGTAGACAGGTTTGACTGTACTTTAACATGTATTTTAGTCATAATTTCAATGTGAATACTTTCATAGTAACGGATTACATGAATTTTAACTCGTGGTTATTTGACATTCATTTATGACCCAATATATCTATACGTGCCTGCAGAAGATAGAATTCATTTATTTATTCATCAACATACAGAATTAAAGCATGATGGAAAAAAGTTGAGTCGAACTAATAACAAAAGTTATATACGTTCTGTATCTAGATCAAGTATTACCGGATCAAATACTGGATCAAACCAGGAGATAATGATCTTCCTCATACATATTTTGATTGCTGAGGAGCTATAGTATGATATGAACATCCATTATCCAATGAACGTGAAAGGGAAATATTTGTCCAATTTCTTTTTTATGCTCGTCTGCCAGAGAAAAATCTTTGATTTGACTGATTCCCAAGCAGATGTTTGCTTTCCAAAATTGTAATGCAAAATACATTAGAGGCGGCAGCAATTCAGATCACTCAATCATGATCTAAAGTATCTCAATATTTGTGCTCTATTTGTTACTCCTTTAAAGCCCATCTGCACTAGTTTGGCCAGGAGTGATTAGACCACCCAGCAAGGTCCCTGACAGGTGGCTATCTCATCAACTCGGCTCTCAATTAACATAAGAAAAAGAGGATCATGGGGGACCAATGATCACCGATTGGGCATTGTTTGCTATATAGAGGGAGCAAGTAGCTACAAGTAGTACAGTGGGGCTTTAAGATCTTTATTATACATGTATTATACAATGATGTCCTCTTGATCCACTGGCAGAACATACTTGTATGTATACTCCATTGGTCAGCACACAGTACCATATTCATCTATGGTTACTTATGAGTCTGTTATTATAAGGCATCTATGATATCAGTCCTACATCGCTGTCACCTTCTTCTTCTTCTTATTCACCTTCTGTTCCTCATCATACTTCAACCTCTTCTCCTTCAATTTGCGTACCTACAAGACAAACAGTTAATTCATTTTATTAATTGTTTGCAGTGGAAAGCAAGATATATAAAGATTGAGAGATTTTGTTTTTACTACCAATATGGTTTTAGTAGATGGACATAGATAATCAAAATAAAAAACAAATTAAAACAAAACAGAAAGTTGACAAATAGCGATGCTTCAATAAGAATTATCAAATTTGCTAAAAACTCACATTTCCATTTTTTTTCCAAACTTAATTGCCAATTGAGGAAAAGGAATTGTATTAACAATAGTGTTGCCACTTTGAAGATTTCAGTGATTTTTCTTTATAAGAAATGAGCTCACCTCCTTGGCTTGTTCTTTCTTCTTCTTCATGAGTCTATCATATAACCTCTTCCTCTTCTTGGGGATCATCATCTCTTGTAATCTCCTTTCTTGTCTAGCTAGCTTCTCCGCGTCCCATGTAGGATTCACCTTCTCTACCTCTCCCTCAGCTACAGATAGATTCATCGTCTGATGGTACAAAGAGAGTAATAGATATAAGGAACATGCAAATAATCACTGTTTGAATATTCATGTTTTTGCTACTGTGAGGCAGCTGGTCATTCAAATGAAATGATGACCATGGTGAATTGTTGTTGTCTTTGATTTATTTTGTCCTGTGACTGAGGATGGGAGAATACAATCATGTATTACTAGATCATCCAAGCTACACCAATTTTAATCTATTTCTACTTCAGCTATAGAAAGCTTCATGGAGTAATGTTAACAAACTATCACTCTTTCAAATACAGAAACAACAGTCCGTTAATCACAGAGTAATATATACATGAATACACAATTACACATAAAAGTCAATATTTTAACAGACAAGCCATTAAGTACTTTGCTTTGAACATCCCACTTTTTTGTAATAGTTTTAGAGTCAATCAAAGATAATTTCATGAATAATTACAATGTTTTTATTTAAACCTGTAAGAATGAGTGTATTCCTTTGACAAGTCATTACATTCCATCTTTATGCTCTAAAAACTCCACATTTCTTGTTTTTCCTAAGCTCAATACTAAGTGGGGAAGTTAACCTTTGCCCATGCAGGGCCTTCACCGTGGAATGCTCTCTCTCAAGAGATTTGTAATGGCAGATCAGTTGAAGTTTCAAAAATAATCTTAGAACAAATCTGTTTATAATGCAAATGCTTTTATGTGAACTCTCTTTCGTTTGTTTTTTGTTTCACAAGTGCGCCTTCAGCACCTTACATATCTCATATTCTCATTAGTAGTATCTTACCTGTTTTTGTGCTAGTTTACTGAGCTGTTTTAACCTCTTCTTCTCAGCATCACCTATACTAGTCTCATCCTCCTCCTCCTCCTCCTCCTCATCATCACTGCTGAGGCCTTCCTCTAAATCTTCTTCATTCTCACTTTCACCAATGATCTCTTCTTCTTCCTCCTCCCCAACTTCCTCATCTGTAGGAGAAGGATTGTAAAAGCATTAAATTATACCAAGAACCTCAGATATCATTAGAAGAATAATTCTATTTCATAAAATGAAAAAGTATCATCAGTCCTCACAGGCTTCGTTCCTCCTGGTATGGTGTATTCATTTAACATCTTTAAACATCCCATTAAGATGAGACATTGAAATATCTTTAAATAACAATCTAATGGTGCTTTTTATAATTCCCATAATGTACTTGATAGCAGAACATTAACTTTAGGTGCCTTTCATATTCCGATTTGGACTATATCTCATATCTATTTAGGGGGTTATTTTCTTTACAAATATATACCGGTATTTATTTTAAAACCGGTATCAATTTTCCTGTTGTAAAAGCTTTATTGCTTGAAGCTAACATTTGGATCAATATTCAGGTAAAACAGATAAGATTTAATCTTCTAGTGAGATATAAATACTGTTTTATTTAAGGAAAATAAGAAAATCCAGTTTTCTATTCGATTTTGGGGTCAGCATGACTACATAAAAGGCTATGTGACTCTTCAGCAGTATGCCCAGTTTCTGTTCACTTGGTTTAAAAATAAGAAGAGCGAAACAATGTCATGAAACAGCAGAGAGATTCTTGTGTGTTGTGAAGAATTGTACAATTTTGTACGGGGGTGAGTGATCATGACAGCCCAACGTACCATCAGACTCTGTTTTCTGGTTTCCATCCTGCATGGCCATCCTCTCAGGGGGTAAGTATGAACCTTCTTTGTCTTCAACGAACGGTGACAGGTGAGGGGGTAGGGGAACACCTGGGAAGTAGTCCTCTAATGGGAGTAGCCGATGAGCATTCACACAGTCAAACACCCACTGAGGCTGGATATAATACCTGAACGTCGATAGAGAGGACAGAGAGAGGGAAACAGGGGTTAAACTACAGAGAAAATGAAATCTATAATTTTCCACCAAACTTTGACTCACTGCCACATAATTCACTTACAAGGACATGCTAAATGTTAAAATAGGGGTTACATATCTGTTGATAAAATAATGATGGATACAAATATCAAGAATGATTTACATTTTTTTAATGATGCTTTTTAAAATCTTAAGAATTATTTGTGGTTTACATCCAACACAATCTATATTGTAACCCACTCCTATAGTGTTATTTCAAACTATGATTCAGCTTTGTAATTCAATTACAGACAGACATTCCTTAGAGCGCTAGATTTAAGCATGCATCCATTCCCTTGCCTTTTCATCTCCTGTAAACTAATTTAGAAGTATACCTTTAATGAAAGAGAGCATACCTTGATAAATACTGCTTATCCTGCTGTGGTCTGTCTACAATCTGATGTGTGATCGTCTCATCAGACATTTCATATGGAGCACCAACAAACATTGTCTTGTCCCATGATACCTGTCCTCCAAAACACCTGCATTCACACAAACAAACAAACAAACAAACATGAATAAATGATATACAATCAGAGTGCTATGGTCGTAGTTATAATCATTCCTGATCATTCCACTAATCATTGTTCTTTAGGCTTAATAATTCTGTGGGTGTTTCACAGAGACTAAGATCGACTATTTGACTTTAAGTTGGACTAACTTTGGCAGGCTGCTCATGCCAATGTTTGCTCTCACCGTTTACTGGCATTGGTCTCTCAAGGGACGTACATAATCACAGTCACAAATCTACATAATTAACATTTTTTAATGATTGGAAGTAAAAAATATTTTCTAAAAATCATTATGGTGAAAGCAAAACAGTGGCATGAATGGCCTGCCATAGTAAATTCCAACTTAAAGTCGATCTTAGTCTTTGTGAAACACCCCCCTGGTCATATCATTTAAAGTGTACAGAAGGCTGCATTACCAATCCACTTGTTTTCTTCATGACTGCCCACCCATGCTAGAATGACTCATATTTTACATTTCTTGTATGTACCAACAGGTTTTGTTTGTATCAATGTAATATTCTCACCTGATGACGAATGTGATAGCTTCTCTTGGTACCTCTCTTGAAAGGAAGAACTTGCATCCTTCAAACAACTTCTTGAACCTTTTCATGTCATCTCTCTCTTCTCTTGCCTTCTTCACGGTCTCTTCATCCACAGTCTAACAAAGAATCAACATAAGTCAAGTCAAAATACAATTGAAAGTGTTACAGACTTTTTCAGTGCACAAAGGAATGAAGCTCTAGATTTAATTTGTTAAAGGTAAGTTACAAATCTAATCAGTATTACTGAGGGAGAGAAATACAGCACAATGAAAAGTATTGAAACAGATCCATGTAATGGAGGGAAATTACTTGTGACTTGTGTCTTCACTGTAACTTCAAAGTATATAAATAACTCTTCTGACATACAGACACACACAAAAGGGATTCTTTAAAAATATGTATTAGTCATTTTTTTAGGTACATGTATGCACATCAAAGGTCATATCAAAGTACCACCACTATCTTTCAACAAATGTTTCCACATAAATCAAAATATTTAACCCATGAAAACAGATGTGCCAGATCTTATATAATAATGGCTAATTGTCATGTTTACTGGCACAATCCAATGACATCATTGAACTATGAGAATTATGGGAAACGGTAGGGGATTACAAAGTACTTTCGATGGCATAAAATGGTTGCTCATTAATAAAGTGAAGCTTGATTCAACTGTATGTATCTTTGATAATATTAAGTGTTACTCACCCCACCAGCAATGAGAACCTCTTGTTGATCATCATCCTGTTCATTGTCTTCCTCATCCTCACCAGTAATACTTGACCCCTGATTGACCTTTACAAGGTCATGTGCAAAGGAACCAATGAGGTCATCTACAGCATCGTCCACTTCGTCCTGTTCTGCTTCTGACTTTGTGCTTTGTACTGCCATTGACAACTGTGACGTATAAAATGGGAAGTTAAAGAAAGCATTTTGATTAATAATGACTGGGTGACTGTACTTTAGCAATACATGCATAAATAATGCTGTATTTGGCATCATGTCCCAGCAATGACATCTTTTGAGTAACATGATTCATGATCCAAGAGTCACTTGCATAACTGCCAAATTTTGAAAATTCAAAATTCTAGCCCCTTTTAAAGACAGAGGGCTCTCATGGGGAAATAAACACCATTTGTTTGTGTGTTTACCCAATAAGAGGTGTTGTCAATCATCAGGATTAGACCAACAAGCTTTACGTAATGCTCCGTCTCTTCCCGATATGGTAAAGTACATGTCTCACATTTGCATCAACTGAAGACTCTCCGAGAGACGGGGTATTTCTTGATTAGCCTATGGGTTTGCTGTGTGCAGACTTGTACACCCATTAATGGTATTTCGACCAAGTCTGGTGTCAGCGAATTATGAACTTCTACACATGGAAACCGTTGCCTGACTGGCTGCAAGTCCTAACGGTACATGGGATTAACGCTTGAAGCCTGATCTACTATGAAGAAGACAGTTAACTCACCTTAGGAGGGTAGTGGAGGTTGAGACTTGTGTAGAGTTTAAAGTTGACAAATCCTACTAGAGTAGTGTAAAACTCTGTGAATGTAGACATGATCTTTAAATCAACATCGCCCGGCACCTGAAACATGAGAAAGATAAAGTGGACATCAAAACTTTGTACCATAATATATTCACCTACAGCAATAACATTCATCATAATAATGTCTCATATCATTTTGAAATGACTTAAATTAAATACACTGAATATGTAAATGTAGTTGTTTTCTAACCCCAGCTTTATCTTATGATGGCCATGTCAGCCTTTTCAATCTCAACGTTTGGTAATCCAAGGAACATACTGTAATTATATCTACACTCTTCTATCAAATGCTGAATAATAAATCCAGTAAACCAAAATACACATCTATTCCTTGATACTGCAAAATGGCTAACAAAAATGGAGTGAAAACAAGTCCTCATGTCCGTCAAATCTGTTTTTACACTGAATCATGGTCAAGAATGGTCAGTATCATGGTCAAGAATGGACAGTAAAAAGGGTCAAGAATGGAAAGCAATGTGCTCAATAAAGAAATTATGCCTTCATAAATTTGTGGACATTTTCAAATCCAATTTTGTTTAGAACTACTATCTCAAGACTTAACATTTTAGGAAATATATTTTCAAACCTCTATCCCTAGTCGCTAAAGCCTTACTCTTACTAGCCAATCATTTGGAGGCTTGGCATCATAAACGTGATTCATTAATGTGATTTGTTTTATGCTCTACGTGTATTATAACTGTAAAATTATTGTATCTTGTAGCAAAGCCAATAGAAACAGAATTTCAATGTATTACCATGGACCAATAAAGGAAGTGAAATTAATGACCATAAACCGTTCTCACCTGATATCCAAAGTTATATGGAATGATCCATGTTAACATCTGACCCTTAATCTCAACCTGAAAGTAGATCCCTTTGATAGACAGGAACACCTACAACAAACAAAGACCACATCAGAATAAACATCATCATAGGGGCATGACCAACCTACCAGTTGAGTTTAATTCTCTTTTCTAAGGACTGGATTGTTGGTAAATATACTGATATGTCCAACTTTTTTTAATCCCCCCCTCCTTCCCCCCCCCCCCCCAAAACAAACAAACAAGAACTGGCGTTTTAATACATCGCCCCCTACATTTTGTAGGTCTTTAGCTAATGGGAGGATTTATTAAATTCTTACAGCTGCATTCTCTCAAGTGAAGTACAATCTAGAAAGTATGCATTCAACAAACACATACAGAGTAGAAGATACAAAAGTATGTGTTAAGGATAACATTGAAAGTTTCTTACGCTGACCTTTCTGAGTGACCTTGATGCGATGACATAGTTCATGAACTCTACGATGAGTCGTCTACAGAGAGGGAGGACTTCACTTTTGACCTTGGCATTCTTACGGAACGTACTGAACAATGAACACAAGGTCAAAGGATCCTCAAGGTCACGCAGAGCATCGACAAAGGTTGGGTATCTGTCAAACACGGAAAGGAAGAAAAACTTTGTTGTTAATTGAACATTTGACATTACACTAAGACAACATACATGTAGAGTCCATTACAAAGCACAAAATAAAATAATGATTTCTTCTTTTGTAATTTGCAGAAGTTACATGCTGCAAGAAAGACTGCTGCTAACAATCTGCGACTGATTCTGGTTTCCAGTATTCAATATAATTATGTGGAGGTTTAACAGAAAACGGAAAATAATGAGAAATATTAGTTACATGCTAACCTCTTCATAAAAGAGGATGACAAATTGTGGCTATTCATTTTCTATTGACAGAGAATTCTTAAAGCGTATCTGCCATAGTTAACAGGAGGGATTAGACTGCCCTGCAAGGTCACTGGACAGGTGGTTATCTCATCAACTCAGCTCTCAGTTAACATAAGAAAAAGAGGATCATGGGGGACCAATGGTCACCGATTAGGCATGGTTTGTTATATAGAGGGCGCAAGTAGCTACAAGTAGTGCAGTGGGCCTTTAAAAGATATAAAACACAACAATCACAATCTCTCTGCACCTACCTCTCTTTAACGATGTGGTCTAGTCTATATTTGGGTTCATTTCTACAAAGTCTGTTCACTGTTGCCCATTCCTTTTTGGCTTTTGCTTTCCTCACTTTCCTCACGAAAACCTGAGACACAAGAGTGAAATGAGCCATGTGAAGAGAATAGATATACATATAAATATACATCTATATAAATGCATATATATAATGTTAGAAAGTATCAAGTAAAGTAAATGTTAGAAATAAATTAATGAATGTCATTTGGTGAGTAAACCAGTAGCCTTACTTCATCTTCAAGTATGTAGAAGAAAAAAAAATCATTAAATTTGAAATAATTATTTAGAAATATTCATTTATCAGAAACATACATGTATGCTACTTTGATAGTTGGTTTCTACATCCTGCTTCTACTGTACACACACTTTGGGCTAAATTTGAATCATATTAAAATTCCTGTTTTTTTCAGCCTTACATTTCTTGTTTTGAGGAACAGGCCAGCCAAAGAGGCACAAAGCAGTCCATTTCATGACAGCAGAGGGCATCACTCGACCATAAACTTTTAAAATAGGCATGAGAGTCCATGAGTAGGGCACCATGGCTAAAAGCAGCATAACTTGAGGCCGGCTATTATAATACATACCCTGTGATCCCTGAACTTCTCAACAATGGGTTCATGAGCTAGAAACTGGATGTCTTTGAATCTGAAGTAGGTTCTGTGAAGCCTTTGTCCTTTGCCAGCTTTCCTGATACTCTTGGGTTCTACAGGGTAGATACCTTTCAGAATACACAGTCTCCTGTAAAATCATAAAATATTATCATTATATTATATACCTTTTCTTCAATTATTATAGAGTTCAGAATCACTCCAGTTCCTTAAACTTGTCACTACTCGTGTTGGATCATTTAAAACCTACAAAGGTAACTCCACCCATTCAAGTAAGAAGGGAAAAAAAGGAAAGAAGTACAAATAATAGTCAGGTCTGAATGTCTATCTTTGTACACTTTACAGGAATTACATTAATACAGTATAGTAGACCGATGCAATTTTACCCCCTCCCCCCTCTCCAACAAAAAAAAAGAAAACACACAAACTTGGCATCTTGAATTTAACATTTCAGAATCTTGCATAATATATTTGCCAGGCTACCTTAAAAAGGTGGTGACATCATTAACAATAAGCATGACTACAATCTAAAATTTTATATTTATTTTTCGGGGGCTACTTTTCAACCTTGCCTGCATGAAAATAACATTCTAAAATTTGTTTTGCATTGAAGTCTATGCAAATTTAAGGGGGCTCTTTTCTGATTTTCGGGGGCTCTTTTGGGCATTTCGGGGGCTATTTCGCCCTGAGCCCCCGTGTATTTTTTTCACTGAAAAGAAAGGGTATGAATGACTCTAAATTTGCTTGATAAATGGATATCACTGAATTCTGAGGTCACACAATGTATCTCACCTGAAGTTGACTAAATTTAACTGCAGCCTCTTCACAGCTGATGCTCGTGTAATGAAGCTTGTTGCTATACCACTCTTGAACTGTAACATGGAGAAGATATGAATTTGAAAGAAGATTGGTAAACTCAAAATGTTAAAGCATGTACATGTAGGCCTATTTGCAAGTTGCAACTGATTTAGTACCCTGAAATTTAGCATCCCAAATCACAACATCTCAGTCAAAATTGTCAAATAGCGCTATTTTAGGGTGTAAAAGGCAGGCCTGTGTCACGGCAAACTGCTGCACATTACAATTGCATACCGAACCGACGGTAGGTGCGGGCGCGCGCGCGCGTGTGACGTTAGCGACTGTAATCTTAGATCCCCATTCAGTAAATCTAAGCAATTCATCATTACAGTCGCTAACTTCACACATGCGCATGCATAGCCAGTACCCTCCATTGGTATAGTATGCAATTGTAATCATGTAGGGCGCTGATCCGAGAAAAAGGATCCTCTGCATAAACGCAGGCCGATACGTCCTCAAAAAAAGATTCGTCCGCATTTTCGCAGACGTTTCATATTTCTGATCGGCGCGTTGGCGATGCAAAAAACTGATTCTGTGATGATTTTCTTGATGCATTTTACATTGTCTTTGTACAGAGACTTTCACATTATGTCCGATAAATCCTCAGGAAGACGGACAACCCAGTAAACTAAGTAGACTGTAGACAGTGAACTAGGTTTTTTTTTTTACGCCGAACGAATCCATTGCCAGCGGGCGGTTTGGTAACCCGAAACTTGTAGAGCGTCGATGAAAAAAATACGTCTGCGAAAATTGATCGAAAGACGATCCTTATTTTCGAGGACTTTCTTTGTTAAATCTGGCAATTTTCTGAATTTGTCGACGAGCACTCATATCGTACTTCGTAGGCGGCTTACGCGCGGGTATTGCACTGCCATTGGGATTGGCCTCCCTATTCATGCTATTCAACTTGTGATATTGTCTGGATTGTCATGAAGTGTTTTTCTCCATAGTCTACAAGAGGTGATTGCATGCCAAGTAAGGCCTGTCTCCTGAATGAATGCAAACGGCCCGGCGCGCGGCGCGGCTACCTGTTTTGTTTTGGGCAAAACCATGTACATATTACCACACACAAAATGCGACATGTGGGACTAGTATTACTCCCCAATCACGCCAATCTAAAATTACATGACAATTCTCACAACATACAAGCAAAGGAAAATGTTTTATCACATATACTTGACCTTACGCTTACCTTCTTTTTCTCCTTCCCCATGATTGACTTCTTTCAATCGATAAGAATCTACTAATCAACTTACGAAGAAACAACACAATATTGATGAATTTCTAGAAGGCACGCACGTGTTCTTTTTTTCTCGCACGTCTCTTTAAATTAGTAGTCTTGATAAACCAGGCGCTTTTTAAGTCTTCTTCTTGATGAACAATTAGTTTTGCCGATTTTATTTCACGGCTGTGAGGTTTGGGGGTCCTCAAATTGAGTCGTTTTATTTGAAGTTTGGCAAGAGTTTGATAAGATCTAAGACTAGTAAGAGTACTCCAAATACCATGGTTTACGGAGAACACTGTGGGTTTATGATTATTAATCGTATGTTGATGTTCTGTTATATTCATGGTATAGGCTGAGGCTGGTACACAGAAAAGAGGGAAACTGAAATTAGCACATCATGTTGTATTCTTTTAAGTTTTAATTATTTATTAATGAAATGCATTTCATACCTTGAATTCACAAGATTAAATGGCTTCTTGATAATCTGAGTTTTACTAATATTTGGGACAGGGGCGTACGCAGGATTTTTTCAAGGGGGGGGGTTTTAAAATATTTTGAAATTTGAAAATCGCGCCGGCCGAAAAGTCGCTCAGTGGGGGGGGGGGGGGGGGGGGGGGGGGGGGGGGGGGGGGGGGGGGGGGGGGGTAAGCGGACACTTTTGTTTTTGTTTTTTTGGAGGCCAAAAAAAATCGCAACGACTCAGCCGGCAGAAAAGTCGCTCAGTGGGGGGGGGGGGGGGGGGGGGGGTAAGCGGACACTTTTTTTTTTTTTGGTCTCAAAATTTCAAAATTTGACATTTTTTTACGTATGGGGGGGGGGGGTAAGGTCACCTTAATTAGGTTAGCGGTAGGGGGGGGGGGGGGTTTTAGGTTTTTTTAGGGGGGTTTACATACATTAAAATACCAAAGGGGGGGGGTTTGAACCCCCAAAAACACCCCCCCTGCGTACGCCCCTGATTTGGGACAATCAAACGAAGAGAATTATACAAATGTCCAATTAAAAAAAAAATCATGTAATATAATTATAAGTTATCAAGATTGCCACAATTGAGGTGAATTCTAAGTAACAGAAGCTTACTTAAAAAGCACTCTAAATACGAAAGAAGAGAGAGAAAGAGACTTAAAAAGGAATGGAGAAAAAGCTTTTTCATCTCGCACCTATGCCTAACATTTAGTTTGTGGAATTCACCAGCTTCATCTTATACTACTATCTTTCTCGTTCGCTTAATCTCTCTCTCTCTTTCTCTCTTTCTCTCTCTCATTCCATTACCCACCCATTATCTACCTCTATATTTATCTATCTTTCTCTCTTTTTTTTCTTCTCTCCCTCTATTTCTCTCTTTTCCACTTTTAGCCGCAATATGTTGCATTATGTTTCATTTCTTATTCTGTCTCAGTTTAGTGTATATTCTGGGTTTTATTTCTTCTGTATTTAAAGTCAGTGGTTTAATTCAGTGAACCTACATACAACATTAACAACCCTATATAGCTTGTAACCTTCGATCACTTTTTATTTCCGTATTTAATGATATACAGACAATTCTTTCATGTCAATAATTACTATGATGATTCAGGATTATTTACTTCCATATTACTTAAAGAAAATAATTGAATGTTTTTTTCAAATGAATCATGCTTTATTAATCTTGAATGGAATATGAATAAAAGCAACCATTTTTTTTGGTTTTAAATAACAAATATAGCATGACTTTGTATACGTAACAAATGTTATTGTCTCGTCAAGTGTTTATCTTATTTTATTAATCTCGCATGGCATGTGAATAAAAGCAACCAATCAAATACAATTTTAAAAAATATAAATCAAAAATCTCATATAGCATGTGAACGTGAGAAATAAAATCAGATGCACTGGCTTTTAGCCTACCGGTGAGGGGAGGGGGGGGGGAGGTGTCTTTGGGGTTGTTTCCCTATAGTGCTTACAAAAGAAAATAGAAAATATTATTATTCTTACTGGCTTCGCCGCTCATGTTTTGGGTTATTACGCTACCGCCTGCAGTATGACAACTCTTTGAGCATAGATTATAGGTTAATTATCTGATAAAGTAAATGTGGGATTAAATTCATAACCGTTATGAATTAGTAATTAAAGATATAAGTATGTAGAGTAATGCCTTACCAAAGGACATTCGTGCCGCGCAGGTATTCGAACCGCATACCTTGTGATCAACATTCCGGTGACGTATCCGTTAGACCACAAAAGCTATACAAATAATCATAATCATAATCATCAATTCATCATCACCATCACCATCATTACCATTTTCATACTTCATCCCCAACATCATCACTACTTGCCTTCCCATCATAATCACCACCATTATCACCACCATTATAATTATCATCATCATCATCATCATCATCATTATCATCATCATCATCATCATCATCATTGATTGATTGATTGATTTTTATTCGACAAGCTTCCAACATACAACAATATACAATAATAACAGATCAAAAAAAGTCAGCTTGAACAGGATAACCCACGAAAGCTCGAGAGCTTATTTCCAGAGGGGTCCCTTACAGACATGTATAAAATTAATAAGTTAAAATAGTAATATTTACAGACAGATAAGAAAATTAAAAGAACTACTTATTAAATATAATAATAATAACAACATTAAACTGATGATAGAAATGATATTAAGTACAAGAAGAAAAAGAAGAAGGAGAAGAAGAAAAAGAGGAGAAGGAAGAAGAGGAAAATAATGATGAATTTGTAGAATTTCTATAACGTACGAAAACATAAGTATATACAACATGAAAAAGTATGAACCGACAGAAGAACAAAAATTTCAATCATATAACATGTCATTCACTTCTCTTCTCTGACTGTCAAGTATTAGGTATTCCTTTAATTTCCTCTTAAAATGATCATAGTTTCCTATTTCTTTTACACCATTGGGAAGGGAATTCCAATGTTTTATGGCATTGTAATCAATCATCATTATAATCATCATCATCATCATCACCACCATCACCACCATTATAATTATCATCATCATGATCGTGATCATCACCACCATCACCACCATAATAATCATCATCATTATAATCATCATCATCATTATAATCATCATCATCATCATCATCACCACCACCATCACCACCATTGTAATTATTATCATCATGATCGTGATCATCCTCACCATCACCACCATTATAATCATCATCATTATAATCATCATCATCATTATAATCATCATCATCATCATCATCACCACCATCACCACCATTATAATTATCATCATCATGATCGTGATCATCACCACCATCACCACCATTATAATTATCATCATCATGATCGTGATCATCACCACCATCACCACCATTATAATCATCATCATTATAATCATCATCATCATCATCACCACCATCACCACCATTATAATTATCATCATCATGGTCGTGATCATCACCATCATCATCATCATCACCTTTATCAATAGTATCATCCAAATCGTGCTTGCTAAAAAAAGATCCCAAAAGAGGACTTGGTACTCAATATTAATTATTATTCTCGTCCACCATTGAAATAAATATGCGCTATTATTCATTTCAGGAATCCAGCCGCGATTCACTTCGAGACTCGAGTGGGGGGGGGGGGGGGAGGGGGGGGGGTATGAGAGAGAGAGAGAGAGAGAGAGAGAGAGAGGGGGCGGGGGAGGTGTTTCATTTTTCATTATATGATACAAAACATTAGTACACACAACAACAAAAATTGTATGTGCTATAATTGTATCGAATTATTTACAAAACAATACCGGATTTTATTCAGATAAACATGGTCTATAATTACATATATATATGTATATATACGAGCAAAAATCACACTTGCAAGTGTTCACAACTAGCATGCAAACTCGATACTTAATAAATTCTGTATACGCGTATCCAAACAATTGCATTGAATAATCACAAATCTCTTGACTACATGTATTTAAACACCGATATAATGTGATGAATTAGTACCCACATTTGTTTAAACAGCATTACTTTGATTTTCGTACAAAACAACGATTAAAAATTACAGCATTAAAATGGCAACAAAACAAAACAATCTGTGCCAATAAGACAATATTGATATTACACTGTATCAGAGTTGATACCACTTTTATTTTAACTAGGGAACGGTAGATCAGCAAGAAACATATTGGACAAACTATGAACAAGCAATAATATGGATTTCTTATCAAATACGTGTATACATTAAAACAATATGTCGACAGACGTGGGTTTTAAAAGGAAAATCACATGAAAAATAGGGGGAAAAAATGAATAGAAAAAGAAGAGGTATACAAAACAGGTTAAACAAATAAATTAACAGACAAAATACGGACAAATCGACAAAAACAATTACACTGTAGTACTAAAATCTATTTGGTTCAAATCATATTTTGTTTTCTCTTTCCATGGACCTACATAAATACATTTCATAGTAATATACATCTTTCATATGATACACTTTTGTTAAAGAAACATTTCAGGACGGTACATTCCAAACACAGATTTATATGCAGCTTTCATCCATTCTACTTCTATCATGAATTAATCATATTAATTATATTACTAACGTTCAGAGCAGCACAGTTTGAATACTTTGAAAATAACATTAAAACATAAAATATAAACTTCATCGATGAATAAAATAAGTTAATGCCTTATTCAGAAATCCTGTGACATTTATATTTAAACATAAACATAAACATTGATAGAGCTCATTGTAAGTTTATTGAAACCAAAACGGGATAAAAGAAGAAAATCAAGCCAGACGTATATCGATTTGATTTTCAATGTTTACTTCCAGTCAATCATCTAGTCAAATTTTCAGTCTATCACAACATACACATATTTAGGCGATATGATAACAGTAAATACTGATTGATTTGAGTACCATTTGATTAGTTTATCCAAGGAGTTATTAATGTCACCTCCCTGGTTTATGGCAACATTATACATGATTTCAATTCGGAAACACAGCATATCACCATATCATCATCAGACATGATATATCGCATAGCTCAGATTAAAAAAAATTGCACATCCATATCTAATTATCTTTTATTCTAAAGAAGCCAAACAAAACTATTGAATGAGTACTTAGTCATGAAAATCAAATGTGACCCAACAGATCAAATCTTGTCTACAGCTTCCTTATGACGGATAGTATAACTACATCGAAAACATCTTCACGAGCAGAATACATTACAATAGCAGCAAACAACATATCTGGCATGGTCATTGTTGTATGTCCACTTGGAACTACATTAACATGAGATATGATATGTAAATACCACGCCGAGCTAGGCGGAAGGATACAGAAATAAAGGGTCTTACAATATGGCTACTAATCAGTAAAAAAAAAAAAAAAAAAAAAAAAAAAAAAAAAAAAAAAAAAAAAAAAAAAAAAAAAAAAAAAAAAAAAGAAAAGGAGAAGAGAGAAATAGCATACAATGATGCTAATGTAAAGAAATGTGCCCAATGGTATCTTTATGTTAGATAATCAAGCAACATAACTTTCTTGAATACAGTGTTTTGTGTTGAGTTATTATAAATGTTTTAAGAATATGAGAACAAAGTTGAATGTATGTTCTAAAGTTTCCATAGAGTTGCTCAGTAGCTCTGCCCAGCAAAGTTCTTTGTATGAGCAAATTTTAAACAATGTTTTGCTTACAAACTAGTATTACAGTATTTTGGTTGTAAATATATGTAAGTACAATTTACTTCTAAATGGCCAAGTTTGGATCAGCAAATAAGAAGTTGGAAATGTCAATATAGAAGGAAAAAAATTGTATAGGCATGTGTTTGCTGATGTATATGTAACCGCATAGTTTTATTTTTATCATTTGGTTTTAGGTATTCCACGTATTAATCTCTCAAAAAAGGACTACTTTATGGATCTAAAGTAAGGTTGCGAATTTAGGTTCTTATGAATCATATACATATGACCGGGGTAATAATATGTTCCGCGCCTAGAAACGTAGTATTAGGCGCATTATAAATGTGAGCTATTATTATTATATTCCTTAATTGTTACTTGGCAATCAGTCGGGCATATGTTAAAGTATTTTTAAGGTATTGGTATTTGCAAAATGTTTGCTTGCAGGTGTTTGGAGTTTCAAGAGGTTTTATGATTAACTGTTAAAACTTTTCTTCGTTATTCATTTAAAAAAAAAAAAAAAATCTATTGTGAGGGAGATGTTGTATGTCCACTTGGAACTACATTAACATGAGATATGATATGTAAATACCACGCCGAGCTAGGCGGAAGGATACAGAAATAAAGGGTCTTACAATATGGCTACTAATCAGTAACTACATCGTCTGCCAGACTCTATCATTTCACCGAGTCATATAACATATTACAACAGTCATGACAATATACAAATCTATCTAGTACAGTACTATCAAAATGAATGGCAAAAATGGTAGAATAAACATGAGCCATAGAAGAATAACGCAACAGAAATATAACGAAAAATATCAACATAATACATGAACATATTTCAACAAATTCGACGAGAACAATAGACAATTATACTAAAATGATAAAATATAACTCTTCGGAGAATATTACAGGAATGTTCGTTGACTTTTCCTTGTTAAAAGACAAATGTTTTGCAATCATAAATCTTGAATTGGCTCTAGTCCTTAAGATACATAATAATGATATTAAATAATATTCCGTTATATCGCGCTTGAGATGTCTCTGAGCGCTTTGCAGATTATCATTACCCCGGTCATTGGATTCAGTGCTTGCCCACACACACACACTATGTGCACAATCTCCACTCCCTGGGGAGCATAACAGCCAACTGGGACAACAGGAACAGAGTTAGATGTCCAATGCTGTTTGTCCATGACGGAAGAAAAGAGATTCATCACACACTATCGACTGATGAGCTGTCATACGATGTCTTATGATCGGGATGTTCCTGGGGAGAAGTTATAGCTACAAATCTCTGTATGGAGAAAAATAAGTAAATGAAAAATTGTATTTGAATAATAATAATGATAATAATAATAATATTCGGCTTTTATATCAATACATCAACGATGTAGGCGCCTTATTATTGCCCCGGTCATCGGATTCAGGCTTACTCGCAAACAATAGATGCACATTCTCCACTCCCTGGGGAGCATTCCAGCCAGGCGTCATTTTTACAAGCGCACACAGTTTGCTCATCTAGCCACATTAACTTTCGCATCCTGCCGGGTACCCCATTAACACCTGGGTGGAGAGTGGCAAATGTAGATTATGCCAAAGGACATTTCGTGCCGCGCGGGATTCGAACCCCGTACCTTGTGATCTGCAGTTGGGTGACTTATCCACTATATATATAGACCACAACACCTCAATCGAAGTCATTTTAAACTAGGATCTTATAGCAGCTTTACAAAATGGTTATTCAAGTTGGTGCATATGGGCATATATTGCAATATATATGCCTTAAAATGGGCCATTCATAATGTGACAATTATTACTTTTGTAAATGGAGAATTAAATACATGTATGTATACAGTATGTTATTGATGTCTTTGGATAACGTCTTCGAAATGTATGAGGTAAAGTTGATGTGCACGCCTTATAAGGCGCTAAGGACATTTGTGAAAATAAGTAACCCTAAGTGCATTGGCCTATACTTTTATCAATGAGCATTACCTCCTTAAGGGATCCTGGTGTAATGAGAAGCTTGTAGAGAGCAAATGCAGGAACACAGACAATAGTAGACATAGTGAGACACCATCCTACACCAATAGACCACTGTGGATAGGGTTCCCCTTGGAATCCTACCATAGGGCGATGCATGAATAGGCCAAACACCACTACGAACTGAAAAAAAGAACAAGTAAGAAACAAAATTGTATAAATGAATGAATTTGAATCATGTTAAAGGTCGATACGTGAATAGTCCAAAAACCACTATGACCTATGTTAAACAAAGAAAAGGCAGTGAACAAAATTTCGATCAATGAAACAGTGAGGGGATCCAATATGGAGGGGAAAAGAAAGTACGATTTAATAAATTTGGAATTCAACAAATTTCACTGTTCAATTCATTTGTATGACTGCCTAAACTCATGAATAGAATCATCACAAGATAAGGTTCTCTACGTGTCCTGGTGCTCTCACATTTCATAATTCACCATAACGAGAAGATCCATGAAAGTATAGGTCCTAGCAAGACATGACTTAGTTATCAAGTAGATTTCGAAGTTGGTCTATACTTTTACGAAAGAAACATGATTTGAAAGTTGGTGGAGAAACCATTATAAGATACAACCGAGGTCTGCGAGAGTTGTGTAATCCATCTAACTATCATCGCAACTGAGATACACCAGAAATAAAGATATGATTATATAAAATATGATAACAACCAAAAACGTGTTATGACAATATAAAAAACTAAGTGAAAGAAGAAGAGCATTAAATGCAAAAGTAATAACCAATGATGAACAATGGAATTACGTATGCGACAATTATTATCATCATATTAGTATCATAATCAACATGTGGTGCCACGCCGCACTAAAAGAATTTGCATTCATTTCCCTTATATCGAATTAAAAACTTATCATCCATGATGACTATGATTTTGTGTCAGTCCTGTTATTCAGTGAAAACCTACAATTCCATCTTATATAACGGATCATCGACCCCACACAAGAAAAATAAAAGTGATTCCACCCTCTTTGAAAGAGGGAAGTTATACAAAATCTTCCATCTTCCCGCAAATATGTTTTCATTTTCAAGGTCTTTTTATACTTTCATCTTAGAGTAAGGTAGTAAACAGGAAGAGACAGTTGGATCACAAAGAAACCAACTCAAGGGATATTGGGACAATTTTGATCTACTGATCTACAGATCTACTGATAGGTACTTACGAGTAGCATGGCTGGACTTAGAATACTCCAGCATAGCTGCCAGTACACGCTGGGTGTTCGGCCTATCATCGTACGAATGTCGCTAGTAAAGTTTTGTAGTCCGTAGAACCATGTGATTGAAATAGCTTCGAGAACGACGACGAGGAGGAGAGTGGTTGAGGCGCCGTAGCTCTCTAATAACTGAAATACATATTGACCGCCCTGCATGGTGATAGAACAATTAAAATTATATTATATATGTATGTGGGGGGGGGGGGGGGACGGGGGACGGGGTGCTGCGATGTGAATGCGGGCGTGGGTGTGTGTGCCTGCATGTGTGTTGCCAGTCTTTTTTACATCTCATTACTAACTGAAGTAATTCTGTGGCGCATAAGTCATGGGTACATATTTTAAATTTAGGAAAACAGCATTTTAGACCCTCAAACTCCTCCTGTCATCATTGTTACTTTCTAAATGGTTACCTATACCAATGCCATGATCGTTCTTTGCCACGCCTACACTTAAACTTTGAAGTATACAATGTTCCTTATGAGACGAACAACATAAACACTTACGTAAGTAACCGTCGTAAGTGAGCCGAGGAAGATAAAACACACAACGCAAGCAACGAAAATTTCCCGATGTTTACCGATCGTCTTCGGATTGCGATCACACCAAGCTGTAATGATCGATTCCAATCCACCGAACTGCAAGGAGAATTAGAAACAAAACGGTCAAATCAAGTTCCAATAAATTGAAAAGTAATTGCTAGCAGTTTTATAGTTTTCTGGTTCAAGAAGTCGTAAGCTAGTGCTGTCATGATAGAGGTTTATATAGACGGTGGTTTTCTGATATTTGTAGTTGTCAGGGGAGTGTATTTGGCGAGTCTTTTTTTTTGGGGGGGGGGGGGGTGGCAATGTGGGGATGGTAGTTCGGGCAATGTATTCCAGATACAATAGTTTTAGTAATTTCAGTCAAACAGATTATATTTTTCTGTGTGAAAATCCTTTTCTTTAACAAAATAGTGATAAACTTTGCATCCCCTTTATTTTGTGTAGAGCCAAACCTAGCTAATTCCGATGACATTGACATAATGTATTAAATGGCATACTTACAGTGCTATCTAGACCTAGTGAGATGATCATAACAAAGAAGATGACAGCCCACCAGGTTGAGCCTGGTAACTGACTGATAGCTTCAGGGATAGCGATGTAGATGAGCCCAGGTCCTGTTCGTAATCAGAGGGGTAATGTTTAGTCGTGAAGTGGTAATGGAATATCATCAGGTGTTCTAACTAAAAAAGCGACAACTTTAATGCATGTGTCGATCCACAAAGCATAAGAAAAGTATGATCTTTCGTCAAGGAGAATTATGTTTTTAAGCTTCATTACTGGTATTGACAGAAACATATACATTAGATGAAATACCTCTACCAAAAGACTCTTATAGAAAATGCAAAGTAGAAATGATCAAAGGATTATAAGGAAGTGAGCTTGTTAGTCGTGAGCATAATTATGTGCAGGCTACGGGTGTGCAAAAGTGAGTTTTTGGTATCCGATGTTTTCATCGGTTTTGTTGCTGGTCCGAAACCCCTGACTTCTACATGAAATACAAACATGTTTTTCTGGAAATGCAAGTCAAAAACTAGACACAAGACGAGGTTTAAATTTGATCCAATGCAGAATGTACTAACCATCAGGTGTTACTTCTTCAATATCTCGCCCCTGTTGGACAGACATGAAACCCAGCACAGAAAATATGGCGAAGCCAGCTAAGAAGCTGGTAAAGCAGTTGATACCACTCGTAATCAGCGCATCCCTGTAAATACAGAGAACATCATAGTTCGATCAGTCAAGTTAGTGAGTTTGTCTTGAACAATTCCCATTGTAAGGTTTCAGGTTAATCCAAATTTAATCCGATTTAAGCAGAAGATCATAATAATCATAAGGGAAATAGAAAAGGGCATGTCAAAACATGAAGATAGAGAATATGTATCCCAATTCATCCTAACTAAACAAAACACGTGTACCGCCAAGCATTGACATTGAATACTAGTATAATAACTTAGTGAATGGATCGGTGTTTACGCTTAATCAATTCAGTAGAACTGCCTCCATCCAGATATAGCAGTGTATAAGGTTTATATGTGTTCCTAACCAAGCAAAAGTCATGTTTTTATCATGTTATCCTCCTCCTCATGAAATAAATCGATTTTCCCTTATAAGGTAAAGTTGTATCACATTCATCAAGCTAACATGCAATACAGGAAATGTTTATCAAGACTTACTTGAAACAGTTGTTATGGAGTTTATTATAACTAGAGAAAGCAAGAATAACACCGAAGCCCGGACCAAGCGAGAAAAACACTTGGACAGCTGCATCAACCCATACCTGAAAGAAAAAAGAGATAGCATGAATAACAGTGGGGATAGAAAGTAGTAATAATGTAATTCACGATTAAAATGTTTTCTTTTTTACTTGCTATTTAATTTCGGACGAAAATTCTGATATCAAACATGTCACGTCATTTTAAACAGACGGAATATTACAGAAAATTAAATAAAAACAAATATACCGGACAGAAACAGCAATGGCTAAAAATACCAGTATGGTGGAAAAGGAAGAGGAATTAAATGACAAGAAGAGAGCAAGGCAGAATGAGGACGAACCGTGTGTGTGATAGGGAGGGGTGGAGAGGCGAGAGAAATAAATGAAGAGAGATAGAGAGAGAGAGAGAGAGAGAGAGAGAAAGAGGCTGGGGGAGGGGGGGGGGGGTGGTGGTGGAGGGGTGTACGTACCCCAGCATTTCGTAGAAGATGCCATTTAGGTTTGAGATAGTAGATGATGCCTGATGAAGCGCCCTCTAGTGTCACTCCTCGAATGAGAAGAACGATGAGACAGAAATATGGTAGAGTAGCTGTCACCCAAACCACCTAATAAAATAACATACCAAGAAAGAAAATGTAGGATGGAGACAGTTTAAATACCACATCATGTGATCATTGCAATCATTATGTTTTACCAGCTGTAATCATACAACTATTTTTTCTTTATTGTTTCTACTACTACTATGCTTGTCATTCAATATCCAGGGGGTTAGAGGGTGGCGGATTGGGCTTCAGCCCCAGCTCCCACACCCCCGAGGACTCTGGAAGTTTCATATTGTCTGGAAACGAGTCCCTCATATTAGGGCTACGAGTCGCCCCCAATCCTAATACTTTGACAGCGAGGTATATAACTTATACATCTTATCTTACTTCTTATACTATTTGACTATTTCCGCTAACTGATAATTTGTGATTGAAACTCATTTTTGTGGATACGGAAAGACATAATACGTGAAATACATTACCTTTCCTGAAGCCTTGATGCCTTTCCAAATACTGAAGTAAACAATGACAAATAGAAGGAGGAGACAAAGAGCGAGCTCCCACTTTAATCCTCCAAGATCACCGATACCAGTTGAGAGATGAGATCCAATAACTTTACGTCTAAGTGCCATAAACACAATATATTAAAATGCAATTCAGTTTGCGATAAGTAAAGATAGCAAAGGTATTGTGTATGTAAACTTATTTTGATTCTTTGTACGTTTGTAAAATGTGAGCAAAACAAATTTCCAATATTGGACAATAAATTGAAATTGAAATGAAATTGAATTGAAATTGAACGTCAGCGAGGTCTTATTTTTTTAATACAATTAATGTTGGTAATAGCAACAACAATAAGTCATTCTTACTAGGTGATACATTTATTAAGACACATAACACTTTCAAACAAAGTCAATAACATTTGTGGACTGACAATAAGAGTAAACTTTTAGGGGAACCTATAATCTACTGTACAAGCTACAAGCTACAAGCTTTTTAATAGGTTCCTCACATTTCACCCTGTATAATCTACTATTCAATACAATTAGTTTCGACGTCTTTACAAAGAATTGATTGTATAATGTGATACTTTTATTATATTTCATATTATGTTCTAATTTCGTCAATTATGTAAATTCTTTTTTGTGAAATGTGTAACAAAATAAACTTGAAAAACTTGAACTCACTCAAAGAACTCAGTGGCAGGGGTCACGCTTGTGTTACTGAAATTCTCTGCAAACGGACTGGCACAAAACTCAGTGTTCCAATCATTATCACAGCTCGTCCATGGGAGTGTTGTAGCGAATGACGCAATGAGGTAATAGACAGACCATGCAGTGATGGTCGAATAGAAGAACCCCACATAGCAGTTAATGATGCAGATTGCATAGCCGATACCTACAGAAATTGAATGGTCGAAATATCCTCAATTACCATCTCAGTCGACTTGTATGATAATCGTAAAATCATCATCGTCATTCCTATAACGAGAATAATTCATCACAACTTCCACTGTAATCACCGTCGTTATCATTATCTTTTCCCCTCGACAATCATCATGAACATCGTTATATTTCTTATTATCATTATGAATATCATCATCGTCGACTTCATCATGATAACTCCTATTGTCACATTCATCGGCATTATTATGGTCAACACTGCTATTCTTTTCGTTTACTATCACAATACCATCCATTATGATCATAATCATTATTGTTAATCATGTTTATTCATCACTATCATCATTATCACTATAATCATCATCATCATCATTATTGATCATTTTCTCTTACCTCCCATGATAGGGCATATTCTCCGCCAGACTGTAATGCATCCTGTTCTTTGGTACTGCCCTAGAGCCATCTCCATATACAAGAATGGTACTCCACCAAAGACAGCCATCAACGCGTATGGCACTAAGAAAGCACCTGTAACCATGACAACCAAAGTTCATAATGGTCTGCTATAATATTGTCAAACAAGTACAGTTAAAATAATCCTAACTAGAGCTTCCATTTATTAACAAAAAATATATATTCATATTCTGCTCTTGACAAAAAAGTCTACCTTCAAACTACCTTCTGATGACTTGCTATAAACGAAAGCTCTTTAAAAGATACATGGGTTTGATAGATGAACGACATTCTTCATTTATAAACTCTATCAGGATAGATTTTTTTTCTTCAATCTCTTATACTCCGTGGGATGACAGGTGATGCAGATGCTTGAAACTTATAGATTCATATCTCCTCTTTTCAGACTTTTAGAAGTAAATATGTTTAATTTGTCTCAATCGATTGATAATGGAAAGAATCTTCATAATCTATAACCCTCCTGATTGCCATCGTATCAAATCTAAACGAAATACGTACATTTAAATGCAGATTTACGGCAATTTCTGTGCTTAAGCTAGTGCTTGGAACCATCGTAAATGCGACGTACAGTCATTAATACTTTCATTATTAAGCTAACCAATTGTTACCAATTGTTAAAAGAGTTGGATTCCACGTTATGATATAATGAATATAAGATGCATATTGCACACAAATTACGTGACTAAAAGTGAAAGGCGTTCATGACTCTATTGGTAACAAATTGGTTCAACCGCATTGTCAAGTAGGCCCTTGGTAGTTCACAGCAATAGATATTCTTTAGCGTTCACTTTTAATTGGAATTAATTGTACTCATGGGAGTATTACTTTGTATTACGCTCGTGAACCTAATAGGCAGGGCATGAATATTATTATTTATTAATAGATCCAGCCACTACAGACATGCAGCAATTCTGTCCAGATTATGTTAAACTCATTATAATGATATTATTGTTTGAATGGATAAAGGGATGGGGGGGGGGGGGTGTTTTTAGATTTCCAATGATGTTTGTATAAACATAAAAACAAAACTGAAACGGAAAAAAGGGAACAAGTGATATCAATTATTGAGTGAGGATCTCTCATTTATTTGGATGATTTCAGAGTGTGCATCTCCGGTAAAATCACAATTTATCATGGGACTTATTCAAAAGTGTTAATTCTTGAAAACGTACGATCTTATACAAAATCCTCACTAGGTTTGTGAATTCAGAAGCAATTTGTAACCATGTTTCTGACTGCCATTCCAGACTCCAATCAGTGTCAAATTTATAGAGACTTATTGAACGCGGATATTGAGAACTCACTAATATGGCATTATTATGCAAGAAAGAAAATCAGCAAGTAGCGTTCACGCCCGTTCACGTACTCTTAATTTCAATGCTTTTCAAATATATTTTTTTCAATGAAATTCAAGCAAACAAACAAACAAACAATTACATTGAACTGTATTTCATAACCCTGAATGTTACTTTATGAAATCCTAATTAATCATGTTTATCATTCATCATGTGTGACCGATGACAACTAGCATAACATCGGACAAATAAATTGGAATATGAAAAGAATAGTTATGAATTGTGCAAACAATATTTCAATTTTTAAATGATAAAAGAACGACAAAGACTAATCATCACGATGACTTCGTTTCAATTGAAAACAAAAGGGTATTACAAAAATTCCCCAAGCAGCATTTCCAATGAGTATCCTTTCGGGAATAGCAACTAACTGCTGTTTATGTGAAGCGGTTTATTGCTTCTCCGTTCTTTTATAAATGCGACGACTGAAAGCAGGTTTTCTTTGAAGAAAGTTTTAAAGTTGCCACATTATAAAATAATCATTTATTGTGTTTAAACGCGGTGTACTGTTAAAAGGACTGTCATTAGCTCTCTTTATCTAATTCATCTAAGAATTTAAGAATGTGATTTCTTCGATTGTCCAAACCTCCACCACCTCCTCTAAATAAAGGGTGTCTTCTTTTCATGGTGCACTTATCTTTCCTGTTTTAACAGATTTATATTACCTGTGTAAGATTTTAATATAAGTTCTTTATATCATTTCTACTGGTTCTATTAAAAATACTCAGGAATATTTCATGCAAAAATTTCGGAGCTATATTATGATCCTGTGGATATGATCAATTATGTACTTTGTCTTCAAATCGTTAGTCGTATATATCACACCGGAGTGTTGGCTCAAACAGCAGAGCGTCCGCCTCACAACCGGGAGGTCGTGGGATCAATCCCCGGCCGCGTCATACCAAAAGACGTTAAACAATGGGAGTTGCTGCTACCTTGTTTGGCGTTCAATTTAACCATGAACCTAATACAAACAATAAGGGATAGAGCAACATCGATCTGGCGGTGCTCAGTGGCTGCCGGGCTCACGATCAATTGGGCAAAAAGAATTTTCATTTCGGTTGAATAAAATTTGGAGTGGACTAAAAGATTATTTATTTATTATTTTTGACAGATTCTTTTCCTAAAATATTATTTGTGTTTTTTCACGCTCTCATCTTTGGCTGAAATATAGGCCTAACACTATAAATTCTTATTTAGAGTAGAATGCATCATGATAATTTGATGTGGTAGAAAACAATATACAATTAAGCTTATATTATCAAGACTTTGTTAGGTTACTTTTTGATTAAGTGCTCCTATTTGATCGATATTATGACCATTTTCATTATCAAAATGTGGTTTATGTCTTAGTTTGTGGTCGTGATATTATAAAACGTAATCGATACAAAAACATGTTGTAGATGTAGCAAAATCATAGTTGTAAGCATCAAGGAAATCAACGATTATAATGTAAGAGTGTAAATGAAGAAATCTCAACTTAAAAAAAATTGTGGACAGAATGTAATGTGTAAAGGATGCAGCTTGGCCTGCATCATCTAGAAGTCTCTTTAAAAAGGAAATCTTGCCCTTTGTCTTTTAGTAATCATTCTGTACTTCATCATTTAAGACTAAAATATAAAAATAAAAGAATATCGACCTACCTCCACCATTTTTGTAACAAATATAAGGAAATCTCCAAATGTTTCCGAGGTCGACTGTGAAACCGATGACGGAGAGTAGAAAGTCTGCTTTCTTTCCCCATACTGCTCGTTCTGATGTCGGTCCATCGATGTCATCTCGTGGTTCATTGGTATCGTATGTGATTCTATTATCCCCATTCAATCCACGGTACCCATTCTCAGCCCGCTGGGATAAGGCTTCCACATTAACTACTGGTGGTGGAAAACCGAGAACATGTGTCTCTTTTCCTGATTGGGGCCAAGTTTTACCAGGCATGTTGAGTTTGCTTTCACTTTGGTCCAACTGAACAATATTATCTGGGCTCTGTGGTTCAATGAGTGAAGTGAGAGCAGTCTCCATCGTATCCATCGTCGTCTTGTATGTTGACGTGATCGTCTTGATCTCCGTTGGGAGTGAGATAATTACCCTTGATATCGATGTGTCTCCTTTCTCACTTTTAGATGAAAGAGTGAGAGGTATAACACCTTGCGTGTTGCTAAACATCGACGAATCATCTTTACCATGAGAACAGAACGGTTTAATTGATGGCTCCGCCTCCTCCTTCCTTGTGATGCATACGTCATCAATGGAAATGAATCGAAAGGCTTCATTTTCCATTATTTGGTCACTTCAAAGCTGCCAATCATACAAGATTACGAAGAGGAAGGAAACTTCAGAAATATCGTGCAGTTCACCTACAGCAAAGTAAGAGAAAGTAGGATACGAGATGTAGATGAGTGTCCTAATCAACCTTGGATCATTAAGGGATATAGGGTACACGGGAGACATATTAAACACCTAATCATCCAACCTTCATTCTCTAATGAGCAATTAAGATATTGTGTGGATCTTCATCATTTTGGCACCGATCCCTTCACTAAATGAACGTCTACATTTTAAGGAGTCCAAACAACGCATGTAATCAGTTAGCCTACATGATTCAAAGTTTTTCTACCATTTCAAATCTGAAAGTTGTTCGACTTACCTTAGCACTTTATAACTGGACGAGTGTTTTAATGGAATCCAAAGCTACTGACACCACTCAATAGTCTTCCTTCCAACCAGTTTTGTTTTTTGTAAATACATAAATACCTATTACATAACAATAATAAACTATAATGCCAATCATTATATTATATCCGGTAGATCAAGCAAAGTTAATCTGGCATTAAGATCAAGGCCGTTTCTAGTCTTAACTCTTTTTCTTAGTGGAATTTGTTTTAATCACGTCTGAACATGCAAACTAGTAGTTATAGCAGTGAGTAGGCGGACGGCCCTAGGGTTTGTACACGAATATTTTCGTACTTATACTATTTCATTGACTCGTGTACATTAACTTTGACATTTGACATTTGATATTTTGACACTATTTTCGAGACAAAATGGACTTATAACACGCGGCGTGTCTATGGGGTTTTGACGAGGTCTTGACTTTTTGAATTTAATTAGGGATTTTTCATTTTGAACTTGTACATTTTTTCGATAAAAACTGACTTATAATTACACGTGCGTCTATGGCATTAAGACTTAAATTTTACTTTGGGATTTTTCATTTTGGACTTGTACATTTTTTTCGAGCAAAATGTGACTTACAAAACGTGTTTCTATGTGAATTTTGACATTTTGAATTTTACTTAAAGATTTTTTTTTAGAAATTATTGACGTTTTGAATAGTGCATGATAGGTATTTTCTTTTTTGGAACTGACTTTTAACATGCGTGTCTATGGAATTTTGACTCTTTGACTTTCTTTCTATACTTTGAGTTAGAATTTCTGAGGAATGTTTACAACGCCGTTGTAGGTTGGATCAATATCTATTGTTCGATCAACTAAATGAAGGAATGTGTATTGACCCATACTGTGATCCTCGCGTGGCAACACGGGGAAGCGTATTGTAGCCTATGTGTAAAGGGTATTGATTTTGTATAGGTCTAGTGTCTTTTGTATTTGAATTACCTCTTTTCAGCAATAGTACCGTCATTACTTATTGATCGTACATCGACTTTATGAACCTCTCAACGGACTTTCGACAAATGAAGCTTGTTTTACTCCGACCTGTTCATACCGCCGAGTTCTTTGGACTTTCACACAACACGTTGATATATAGTTCAGGGCTATGTTTGGACTCTCTCAAAACATCATCAAAACAGATTTGAATACAAAGATAATAATTGCAATTTAGTCATGTTACCATGGGACGGAGATAAACTATACAAAACATTTTTAACTAGAGAAATAGAACCCAAGTCACATTATTATTTCATCGTAAATATGTAAAAAATATATATATATATATATATATATATAAAACAATGTAACATAATAATGTATAGCAAACGTACACACCGTAAATCCGCAGTTTAGCGCCGTAACATGCCGTAACGCCGCAGCCGCAATGTAACGCCGTAACACCGTGTCGTTAATATCCACAACGCATTTAACGGATCATTCATCTCTATGCTTCATCACCAACTTTTCTAGACGAAGTACGAAAATATTCGTGTACAAACCCTATGGCCGTCCGCCTACTCACTGCTATAACTACTCAGACTATTAAATGTAAAAATAATAAGTGACACGTTTCACACTTTTATTTAAAACAAAACTGTAAAAAAGGAGGTCGACATACCCTTCATGCAAAGTTTGTGACCTCTGAATATTGCTGAATTAGTTCGAAATCTCACACAGTATCTTTTGATCGTACGTCAGAAATAGGAAAATATTTAGCCCCCCCCCAAAAAAAAAAAAAGAAGAAGAAGAAATAACAAAAAATAAATATATATATGAATATATACGTATATGACTTTACAGAATTATCGCAAAGGTACAAATATGGGTCGTACAATAGTAATATGTTTTATATGGTTTAATTGTTAGAGGGCGTAGCATGACTGGGCGTGTTTTGATTTATTTGTATGCTACACTGTTAGAACGGTGTTTAAAATATCACTGTTTAAAAGAATGTTGTTTAAAAAAGTAAACAACATTGTTCAAAATCGGAAAATCAGTGCTCGATTGACTTAAACAACTATGTATTAAAAGACAAAAATATTTAATTAAACAGAGTTGTTTAAAAAGTCCCGGGGGCGTCGTTGATATTTCTCGATACGCGATTGCAATTTGCGCACACACATACGATATGCACAAAGTAAGTACATAATACATGCATGCAAGCATGCAGTGCTAGTGTGCAGTGCAAGTGCATACGAAAATGGCGGAACAAGGGCAAGGCGACGACTTGGTTCTTCTCGGCTTCGCCGATGGGGTTTAGGTGAAGTTATAGAGACAAATAATAATGTTGTCTGTCACTGCCATGAATATGATGAACAAATGTTGAAGTAAATTGGCAACAAGCTCTGCATGTTACAGTGTATAAATCGTTGTGATTATTGCAGGAGTGGTTCCAGTAGGTCATTTCACAAATTCAAACAACCAGATAATAACCATTAAACAGTTCTGTTTAAAATTTAAGCAACTCCTTTTAAACAACCCAGTTGTGCAGTAATACTGAATAAACAACAGTTGCATAGTAATTTAAACATTACTGTTTAAAATTTAAACAACTTGCTTTAAACAACCGAGTTGTGCAATTTTATTACTAAACAACTGTTGTTTAAAAGGTTTCCTAATTTTTAAACAACTAAGTGTTCAAAGTGTAAACAACCTTAATTTGTTTAATTTTTAAACAACGTTGAGCGATTCACCGGTTAACTCGGGGTTGTTTAAAATTTTGAACAAATTGTTTAATTTTTTTCTAACAGTGCAAGAAGAGAATAATGTGTTCTCATTGTTTTTTTTCTTCTAAACCCTGTACACCTTGACGTACACTGTTAGAAAAAAATTAAACAAGTTGTTTAAAATTTTAAACAACCCCGAGTTAACCGGTGAGGGGGGGGGGCACTTCACCACTGGAACTTTTTTTCGAATTACCTATTTTGGGGAAACCGGTACCTTATATTAGGGCAGCACGGGTTTATTTGTGAATTTTATATCTTATTCAATAGTGAAAAAATTATAAAATACATTAATAGACAAATAATAAATAAACATAAATGTTTAGTAAATTTGGTGATGAAAAAAATTTAATCTCCAGTAAAAAAAAAGTTCTAAACTTCTTGTCTCGATTGCAAATACAAAACTTGGCAAGAGAAGGCGGCCTCCTAAACATGACCCCCTATCACTTTGTAGTACCATATGAACACCCGATCCATTAAAATGATCATGAATGTGGAATTCTGTATCAGTCATGTACGACCTCTAGCAAAAAACATTTAACAAAAAAAGGTACCAACAGTGACTTAAAGGTAAAGACCAGTTTTGGAAACGCCCCAATTTCAAAAAATGAAATGGAAGCTCTCATTACCAATCATGTGAAAGAATATGTTTTGATTAATACATGATGATAAAAAATTTGCTGGGAAACCGCCTACTAATTCATATATTTTGTAAATTTGTTTCTCTCATGGTTTGTGAGAGATATAGGGTAGTCCCATATACATCTTTCTGTGTATAGTGCTTGTAACTTTACGAAGAATGGGCCAAATTTCTTATCATTTTGATGATTCCAGAACCTTGCAGATGCTAGATGCTAGATGATCAACCTTTTCTGATCGATTCCACAACGTTTCTTTCACAATGCAATCGCTTGACCATAACTGGTCTTTGCCTTTAAAATCGATCTTCGAATTTCGTTTTGTATAAGATATATTGTATAGTAATACAAAAATAACGATAAATGTTTGGCATCTCTATCTGCATAGAGCTACGTTTTATTAATATGATGATTTCACTAACATTTAGATTGCAAAACAAAACATTCTTGTTAAGAAAGAATCAATTAATACCAGATTATCATTTTTATTATTTTTTGGGTGAAAATGATAATAACTGATCAAAAACCTCTATCATGACCTAAAAGCAACAGTGAGAACCAGTAACGGCAATACTGAGTGGTTTGGAATTGGCAGGGGAGTACGTCAAGGCTGCATACTGTCTCCCAACCTTTGTAATACTTATTCTGAGGACATTATGAGAAATGCTCTAAGTGACAGAAAGAGAGTTGATGCCTTTGAAATGTGGTGCTACAGGAGGCTATTGCAGGTGTCCGATGGAAAGATAAAAAGACAAATGTGTGGGTCCTGGAACTTGAAAAGATTGGAACAGACTTGATCATCAAAAGAGAAATCATGGAAAGAAAACTAAACTATTTTGGGCACATTGTTAGGAGATTTGAAGGTGTTGAGAAGCAAATACTGCAAGAAGCAGTCGAAGGAAAACGTCCACCAATATCTTGGACTGATGATATCAAGAAAGTGTCTGGAAAAGGAATGAAAGGTGCAACACAGATGGCAGGAGAAAGAGTTGCATGGCGTGCTCTCTAGAAGACCACAGCAGCGTTTTACAGCGCCACCAGAAGTTGATAATGATGATGATAATAACGATATTAGCACGCAACTTACCTGATTGAGATGAGGAACTCGGTAAAACAAATCCAATAGTCGAAGATAGTAAGAAAGTTATAAAAAGGATTTTTTTAACGTGTAAGC